CAAACAATGACGCACCACCAGATGGTATCTGGTAACCGTCTGCTTTTTTTCTATTTTGTATGTTTATCTGTCATTTTGTTTATTTTTTTATTATCAATATTTTAAGTAGTGCCGTCTCTCTAAGAAATTGTGGAATGAATTTCCTACCGAGGTTTTCCCACGGGACTACAGCATGGGGTTTTTCTGGATGGTATCTGGTGTATATCCATTACCATTTAGGGGTATGAATAATAGATGTTGGCCGATTCTCAGACCTACTCAATACGCTCACAAAATTTCATGAGAATCGGTCAAGCCGTGTCGGAGGAGTATGGGAACGAAAACTGTGACACGAGAATTTTATATATATTATATCTACCTTTTTACGAGGGTAATATATTCAAACACGCGGGCCTTAGCCAAGCATGGATGAGTTATGTGATGTCATTTTATTATTATTATTAAACTTACCCTCTGTCGTTACAAAATTGCAGTTATCCGGGTACCTTCAAGTCATTATAATTGTAATATTGATAATTTCAATTCATACAAGTATTTTTCCGACGCATAGAAAATGTCGCTTATGCAATAATTAGTTCAAGGAACAATGCTTTGCGTGTCATGCATGGGTAATTGGGACTAGAGTGACTAACTCTGTTAAACAAAATAGGATTTAAACATTATAAAATCGGGACCGACAAAAAAATCAAGTGTCCAGAAAGTCTTATTAATATCTTTTTTAAACCATTAAGTGACGGCCTCGGTAGTCAAGCGGTTTAACATGTCCTCTACTTCCGATGGTCGCGGGTTCGATTCCTCGCACGGCACAAATATTTGTATTCATGAGTATGATTGGTTGTATCGGTTTGGAAATTTTCTATGTATAATAATGTATGTATTTATCAAAAATATATATCTATGTATTTGTATCAGTTATCTAGTAACCATATCACAAGCTTTAGCTACCTTAACTTGGGTCTAGGCGTTGTGTGAATTATCGTGAGATTATTTATAAAATATATATAAATACTAATGAGCGCTTTTTGAATGAGGTTCTGTTCAGTATGTATGTATGTATGTATGTAACACGTGTGATGTTCTGATATAAGTGTGATTATGAAATGAAATGAAATTTTATTGCATAAAATAGCTCGATTTCAACCGCATAAAATTTATAGCCTATGTGTTATCCTGATGTATAGCTATATTACTGTAAAGTTTCATCAAAATCTGTTCAGCAGTTTTTGCGTGAAAGAGTAACAAATATCCATCCATACTTACAAAGTTTCACGTTTATAATATTAATAAGATGTGAATACATCAACAATGGGACACTGCGGATGTATTCACATATACATCCCGACTCGGGATCCCGAGATCCCGTGTTTCTTATCCCGAGTCGGGATGAGAAACACGGGGATTTGGAAACGGGACATCCCGAACAAGGATAATTGGTAATCATACTGGTGACCACGCTGCTCTTTTGTATACGCAGCACATTTGTATGCCGACGCGGCAGGAATGTCGTCTATCATTCTTACTAATATTATAAATGCGAAAGTAACTGCCTGTCTGTCTGTCTGTATCGCTTTCACGCCAAAACTGATTTAAATGAAATTTGGTACACAGAGAATTTACACCCTTAGAAAGGATATAGGCTACTTTTTAATGCTATAAAAGGTTGTAAGGGGTTGAAAGGGGAACTTATTTTTTAAGCTGTTAAGGGTTGTAAGGGGTTGAAAGGGGGAACTTATTTTTTAAGCTGTTAAGGGTTGTACGGGGTTGAAAGGGGAGATGAAAAAGGTTGTAAGGGGTTGCAAGGGGGAACTTATTTTTAAGCTGTTAAGGGTTGTAAGGGGTTGAAAGGGGGAACTTATTTTTTAAGCTGTTAAGGGTTGTACGGGGTTGAAAGGGGAGATGAAAAAGGTTGTTGCAAGGGGGAACTTATTTTTAAGCTGTTAAGGGTTGTAAGGGGTTGAACTTATTTTTTAAGCTGTTAAGAGTTGTAAGGGGTTGAAATGGCAAGGGGGAACTTATTTTTAAGCTGTTAAGGGTTGTAAGGGGTTGAAAGGGGGAACTTATTTTTTAAGCTGTTAAGGGTTGATGAAAAAGGTTGTAAGGGGTTGCAAGGGGGAACTTATTTTTAAGCTGTTAAGGGTTGTAAGGGGTTGAAAGGGGAGATGAAAAAGGTTGTAAGAGGTTGCAAGGGGGAACTTATTTTTTAAGCTGTTAAGGGTTGTAAGGGGTTGAAAAGGGAGATGAAATGGTTGTAAGGGGTTGTAAGGGGGAACTTATTTTTTAAGCTGTTAAGGGTTGTAAGGGGTTGAAAAGGGAGATGAAATGGTTGTAAGGGGTTGTAAGGGGGAACTTATTTTTTAAGCTGTTAAGGGTTGTAAGGGGTTGAAAAGGGAGATGAAATGATTGTAAGGGGTTGTAAGGGGGAACTTATTTTTTAAGCTGTTAAGGGTTGTAAGGGGTTGATGAAATGGTTGAGATGAACTTATTTTTTAAGCTGTTAAAAGGTTGGAGATGAAATGGTTGAAAGGGGGAACTTATTTTTTAAGCTGTTAAGGGTTGTAAGGGGTTGAAAGGGGGAAAAGCTGTTAGGTATACCTATAGATAGATATAACATTCAAAGTTTGTATGGAAAATAGTGAGTTTTGATAAGGCCGGCAAAGCACTTGCAACTCTTCTGGTATTGCGAATGCTCATGGGCCGCAGTAATTACTTACCATCAAGTGAGCCGCAAACTCGCTTGTCCTCTATGCTACAAAAAAAAAACTATTTTTATTGCATTTATTTCAAAAAGATGGTGAATAGAATAGAATAGAATAGAAAATAATTTATTCAAATAAACTTACATTGAAGCACTTTTGAATAGTCATCACATTTTTTTAATCTACCGCTCATTCGGAAAGCTGTCTCATCACAAGAAGAACGAGCAAGAAACTTGTGTGTTGCTCTTTTAAATAATTTTATTCTTACTTTACAATTTATGTTTAAGTGTGTGAATACAAACCACCGATTAGCACTAATTCAATTAATTAATCAAATAGAAAAAATATTGAATAAGCAACAACTGGTTAAACAATTAATAAGAGGAAATCAGTCATAGTGATTAGAGCAGACCAGTCCCTATAGACTATAGTCCCAGTGACATAGGCTGATAGTCTATTTCAGGATATTTTCCGAGCCGATACGATATTGGCACCATTCCATTATCATCCTTAAAAAAACCTTTATCACTTAGGGGTATAAAAATAGATGGTAGCCGATTCTCAGACCTACTAAATATGCATATAAGATATGGTAACTAATATTGTGATGAGAAATTTATATATTATAATAATAATAATCTCAGGACAATTTACACAGCGCCATCTAGACCCAAGTTAACCTAGCTAAAGCTTGTGTACTAGATAACTGATACAAATACATACATAGATATTTTTTTTCATAAATACATACATATTATAGAAAATACCCAGACCGATACAAACAATCATACTCATGAATACAAATGTTTGCGCCGTGCGAGGAATCGAATCTGCGACCATCGGCAGTAAGGCGATGTGCTAAACCACTAGGCCACAGAGTCAAAGTACATTAAGAGATCGTCTCAATATATATATTACTTCTATATTATATTTACTGTTAGTCATGTGATACACAGTCACATGCTCCGATAACTAAATCAAGTGAGACAACTATTGAACTCTGACTATATTTATACACGGCATATCTTTTTGCGTCATAATATAGGCTGATATAATATTATGCACTATTAAAACAACAACATACAATATACCGTCACCACTGTCATTGTACGTGGTGTGATTACAAGTATTGTAACCTCTCGATCTTATGGTGTACGCAACACTTGAAATGTTCACATTTTTGATAAATTTAATAAATTTAATATTTGATAAATTTAATAGTACACTTTCACTTGAACAAATACAGATAAAATGCTTAAACAACGATCCCTGCACTGAGCACTGAACTGTATATATATTTATTTATTCATTTATTTCAGGCAACTAGGCCCATATTATAAATACCTTATAGACTAACATACATATAATATAATATTTAAAAACTAATACAATAATATTGTCTGTGTGATCACGGCACTGAAGACGGCAATCTGCCACGGTAACGCCGATACAGCACACCTTTCGGCCAGTAGTCCTCTTTCATGAAGGTGGGCAGTATATAAAGTAAGAATAAAATTATTTAAAAGAGCAACACACAAGTTTCTAGCTCGTTCTTCTTGTGATGAGACAGCTTTCCGAATGAGCGGTAGATTAAAAAAAAAAGTGATGACTATTCAAAAGTGCTTCAATGTAAGTTTATTTGAATAATACTAGCTGTGCCCGCGGTTTTACTCGCGTGAAATTTATAGCCTAAATATTATTCTGATGTATAAGATATAGTATAGCTATATACTGTAACGGTTCATAAAAATCCGTTCAGTAGTATTTGCGTGAAAGAGTAACAAACATCCATCCATACTTACAAACACTTTTGAATAGTCATATTTTGATTCTACCACTCATTTGGAATGCAGATTCATCACAAGAAGAATGAGCAAAAAACTTATGTGTTGCTCTTTTGAATAGATGTGTTTTTTTATATATAAATAATTACAGTATAGTAAGTAAGAGGCATGCGATAATCAACATAGAAATCGCTACGCACTCATTATTAGTGTAATCAGATAATATTGTCAATGCTATGGATATATAGATAGAGAAGTTTTTCTATAAAAACATTATTATCGTTAATGAATTCTTCAATTTTATAGTAAGCTATTTTGCAAAGGTGTGTTTTATATGACATTTAAATCTTATTTCAGTTTCAGTAGCAAGAACCGTACTTTATTTTCATTAAAAAATTACTATCAATCATTATACCCATTTAAAAGAGAATTGACTATTAATCATTAAACCCAGGTGAAGGCAAAGATACTAATTAGTTCTTAAAAAAAAACACTAATTGTTCTAAATTACTGATTTCAGATATAGAAATGGATAATGCTGATGCAAGCAATCAGCAAGACAGAAGAATAGAACAAAACGAAGAAGAATCTATAAACAACAGCCAAGCTAAAGTACAACAAAATGAAGAAGAAAAAGAAAATCGTCAAGATGGAAAGGAGAATAGTAATGAAGAAGATATTAATAATACAAATAAAATTGAAGAGAAAATGTCACAATATAATGAAAATATAAAAATCTCTAGTTCTAACAATGGGCTTTCCAGTGATAAAAGTAACAAAGAAGAAACATTGTTAGCCGAGCCTACAACAGTAGTCAGATTTTCGCCTATGTGGAGACAGGTAATTATAAACTTTATATATATTTCTATTTAAGTTCAAATTCATCAATCAAGTTGTTTACGAGTATATTGTAACTCCTAAAATACTAAAAAAGATGTAGAGAATAAGTCCTTATCTAGACATTATACTACAGATAAGATTTCATTGAAAGACTCGTTTGTGAGCAAGGTAAGAGCAACATTGTTGTTACAGTATCATCAATTAAATATGTACCAATCAGAAGTACTACAAAAAGAAGGTTATATGTATATCATTCAGAGATCAAATAAAGAAGATAAGTAAATGATAAATATCTAATAATATATGACATACCTAAGTATGATTTGACTGATATCCCTACGTGAAAATGTTAAGACTTTAATGACAAACAAGCTGACGTGTTGAGGTAAATGGTAACCGCCGCCTATGAACATGAACGTTATGAACATCCCATTATTATGTGATGCCCTACCACTCAAGCGATACCAGTGAGGGATATTTAGATGTGTCTGTTTCTTGAAATGTAATTTATTCTACCTTATGTCTATCAACCAAAACATATTTTGGAAAGTCAACTGCTTGATAGCTGAACTCTTCTCTCTCTCTACCTCACCTAGACAGAGGAGAGTCAAATATAAAGCCTACCTTGGTAATAGATTGGTTAGTGTCAATAATCATTTTCCCCGTTCTTCTTATCTGTATCTGCATTCCGAATTTGGAGATAGGTTCAAGAAATTACTATTTATATACATGTTTTAGCATTGGTTACCATGTAATGGTTGCAGGCGATTCTCATACTTAGATATTGTTTAGTTGTATGATTGATTGCATTGGTTTTGCTTTCTATATTTAGTGTAATTAAAAAAAGAATATGCTTAAGTGTTTCTATCACCTGTTTAGTATTCACAGTACAAGCTCTGTTTCACTGTGGACCAGATTTTCATGTGTTATTAATATTTTGTGAATAAAAGAAACTCTTGCTATATATTTTATCTAATCACACCGAGGTATTTCTAGGTTAGCAACATTTACAGTTATAGTAATTAGTATTAATAACTATACTAAATTATAATATTCCGATTAAGTTATCGCGCTCACATCGAGCTGTGTCAATAACCTCTTGAATAGATTCATAGTTGGTAACTATAATTTTGTTTAGTCTTTTATTTGATAAAAAGTCTTTATGTATACGAAATGTTTTATCGTTCAGCCAATAAATAATGGTTTACTTTAAAGAGTGCCTTACGCGATATCTTTGCGAAAACAGAATATATTTGGTGATTCATTCCACAATTAATATGATTTAATTCCGTGTTAGATATAGCTATCTCCATCTATTTATCTGCTTACTTCGTTTGTTTTTGTCTTTTTCTCTTTGTTTTTGCAATTAATAAATATGTTTTTTTTTATTTCTTTCTTACTCTCTTCAAGTTTTGGATTTTGATAGAGTGTCAACTATGATTTCTTCCGGAAGGTTCATATGTATAATACATCCATATAGTTATACTGTGTCGATTATGCACGATTATGCTGCACATCCGTGCGAAGCAAGTGCGGATCGTTAATTTTTTAATGGCATGTCATTGAATAGCTTAACTATTTCAGTCAAAAATTGTATTATATATCGCTATACTACGGCTTCTACCGGTAGCCATTACTAATTTGCAATAAGTGCTTTATAATTTGGGCTTGTAAAAATGAATAATTATAATAACCCACTACTGTCTTTCAGTTCAACTCTAACAGTCTAATGGAAAGTGGTATCTGTCGTCCATGTTTCTACATGGACAGCATCATGAGTGTCTTAGAATACATCGTGATGGTTAGCTTACCACCTTCGTACTTACGAATTACTGTTCATTAGGATCTTTCCTAATTTGTTCTGCTCCGTATTCTGTAATTTCTTATTTTATTGATATCAGTAATCGATTATTTTTGGTGCAAATTAAACTCGTTTTCTGGTTTGGAGTGCTATTTTAATTGGATTTTTATCAGTATTGAAGACTGCTTCATTATTCGACTAAGAATATGTTAATGAGCACGTCGGCAGATAGCAAATGTAGGTAACGGATGTTCAATTATAAACTGCATTTATCAGCTTTGATATTTGACAGTTTGTATTCATACAAAATTCTTAAATATGTGATCTGAACAACGTTTATTTAAAAAATTAACACGCAAGTTTCTTTCTCGTTCTTCTTGTGACGTGTGAACGGATGCTGCTTGTAGAAACTGATCTGCTCTGATAACTATGACTGATTTATTTTGTTACTTAAAGTAACTATTCCATTATTGATGTCAACTTTGCTATTTGTCAGTTTGTATTCAAACAATATTCTTAAAAATGTAATTCTGAGCTAAATTTATATTTAAAAGAGCAACACGCGAGACAAGTACAAATAAAATAATACATTTTTTACATCCTTACTATAATTGTATTGAAATGTGAATGTATTGTTAAACATAATTGCATATTTAAAAAAACCCATTTTGAAAGTTTGAGTTTATATCCAAAAATAAATACTTTCGGTTTTAATAGACATATAAATAATCTTCATTCAAATAAACTTAATACAAGCAGTTTTGAAAAGTCATTTCCTACTATTTATTAATAGTAGAATAAAAACTGCTTCTTCATACTGAGCATCACTTTAAGTATGAATATACTGAGCATCACTTCGGTTCTCCCACTAACCAGAGAATATGGATTTATTAAATATTTAATTTTATAATTAAATAAAAAAGATAATAAAAAAAGAAATTATTACAACATGTTTTTTAGTCAATTTTGTATTTTGTATATTTCGAAAAATAGTGTCAACCTGAATTGGATTCGAACTCAATTATTAATCATTGTACTCTATTTTTTTTCGGCTCCGGGCAGCTGGCATTAACAGCTTCATTGGACGGTAGGGGCGAGTGCAGATGGCACTTCAAACCCACGGAAGGACTTATGGAGCGGCTGAAGGCCAACTCCCGCCTGACGGATACGACTTTAGTCTGAGGGCACCGCTAGGGGTTCGAACCTCGGCTCAGGCCGTCGTAATTTCGATCCCCATTTGAATTGAACGGGGTATCGAACGGAGAGGCGACCGGGGGCGCCGGTGTGTAGGAGCGCCAGTGTGGATGTTTATACTCGTATATTACGATTAAATACATTATCCTGGTGAATTACACCTACAATATAAAAAGAAGTCATAAATAAATGTATATATATATATATATTGATTTATTATTTTACTACTTATATTTTACTTATATTACAGAATAATATATCTTGAAATTAAAAAATAATTTATTCATGTAGGACATTTTAGCCGCTTATAAACATCAAATTTATTATAGTATATAATTGATCCCATGCATGAACAACGATTGCCATGCAAGCTCCTCATTCAAGTAATCGTTTAGTGAGTAATAATAGGCTTTGCTCAGTAAATATGATTTAACAGTTGTTTTAAATTTATTTAAGGGTAATTCCAGTATATCCTTTGATATCTTATTGTAAATTTTTATACCTATCCCCATAAAAGATCGATTACGATACTTATTATTCTAATCTTATGCTATTAAATTATCTTTAATGACATGTGTATGATTATAATAGAGTTTAATCTGATGGTTGATATAAGGTTACTTTTTTTTTAGTGGATGACAATGGAATGGTGACCCCGCCTGCGTTAACGGTTTACGCTGGCGGGGCACCACTGACCTGACCCCATGCTCGTCTTATCATCTTCCATTGGTGCACCGCCAGCGTAAACCATTAGCGCAGGCGGGTGCACCATTCCATTATTATCCATAAAAAAAATACCTACCTCTCGGCCAGCAGTCTTCCTTCATGAAGGTGGGCAGCATGTTGGATGTAAGGACCCGAGCCGCAAATGCCTCGAAACTCGCGTTTTGACTCGACCCCAGCTGCGTCACCGTTCAATGTCAGGACCTCCTGGTCCGTATGTAGTTGATAATGCCCTGCTCCTTATTGGCGTAATCTAGGCCATTACCGTGGTCTGTGTGTTGATTTTATGTATATGATTGCAAATTGTTTTACCAATAAATAAGTAAATGAGAGCTTTGAATAGTAATTAATGTGACAATTACTCAATTCCAGTCGCTCGCTGCAATGGCATCAATATTCTTGAGCTTTACCGCCGGTCTTACGTCTGGATACTCCGCCATTTTGTTACCGCAGTTGCAACTTCCCGGAAGTCCTATACTAATCGACGAGAGTACAAAATCATGGATAGGTAGGTCTATAAGTTTGATTGAACAAATTTGTTTAATTTCGCTTTTGTAACGTGAATGGTAAAAGAGCTGTCGGCCACCTGATGGAAATCGGCTAAATGATGAACAATAATCACATCATCATCTGCCTGCAATGCGTTCGCATATCTATGAACTAAGGTGCTTTCTTTTATCCTAATTGCAGTAAGTAACTGTCGTATTGCATATTTCTAAGCAGAACTAAGTTTAAAAACAAACTTCTGATACAGAAATAGGCGAGACAATTTAGTACAAATGTGACGGCCTCGGCCGTCCAGTGGTGGTGTACCCGCTTTATTTTTAATGACCGCGGTTTCGATTACTCTTCTAATAAAAAGTGAGTGAGTAATTTGTATTGGTCTGTCATAATTGTTTGTATTAGCACTTACAAAAAAATGTATTGAATTATTTATATCACCCGTATGTATAGTACCAAGCACACAAACTTTGCTTAACTTAGAGCTAAATGTGAATTCAGGGTTATTATTATTATGTTCAAATACAGGAAATTTAAATTACAATATATTGATAAGGAATATTTGTGCTTTTTCAGCTGCAATGGCTGCACTACCCATGGCGCCAGGGTGTCTCATATCTGGATGGCTTATGGAGAAATTCGGAAGAAAAACATCACACTACATTCTCTGTGGACCTTTCCTTTTCGGTTGGATCCTCATTGCCTGCGCTAATAATTTAACGTTAATGCTTCTTGGAAGATTCTTTACTGGGCTTTGCGTCGGTCTGCTGGGTCCTCTTGGTCCTGTATATATTGGAGAAACATCTGATCCTAAATACAGAGGATTCTTCCTCGCGAGTGTATCTTTAGCCATTGCCGTGGGCATATTTGTAGCTCATCTCATTGGAACATTTATTACATGGCAATGGACTGCAACGATTTGTTGCCTGTTTCCAGTTCTAACTGTAGCAATATTAGTCTTTATCCCTGAGAGTCCAACTTGGTTGATTTCAAAAGGAAAAATTGAGAAAGGAGCCGAATCATTTTACTGGCTGAGAGGCTACGGTGAAGAAGCGAATAATGAATTAAAAGGACTCATTGAGAGCAAAAAGCTAGTCGACGCTGAACCTGCAATGAATTGGAAAGAGAAATTAATTAGTCTTAAGAGTCCTGAATTGTTGAAACCTTTGTTCATAATGATTTCCTTTTTCGTAACTTGTCAATTCTCTGGAGTCAATGCTGTTGCGTTTTATTCTATAGAAATAGTAGAAAAAGCTGTCGGTAAAGGACTTGACCATTACATGGTAATGTTAATAATAGATGCTCTAAGAGTTGTTATGTCCATTGTCGCATGTGTAATTTGTAAACAGTATGGTAGAAGACCATTGTGTTTCATCAGCGGAATTTTCACAGCCCTATCAATGGTAGGGTTGTCTATGTACTTATACTGGAAACCACCAAATCTCACTTGGATACCAATGATGTTTTTGATGATGTATATTTGTGCTATATCTATAGGTTTAGTTCCATTGCCATGGATAATGTGCGGTGAAGTATTTCCAACAAAAGTTCGAGGATTAGGATCTGGAATTAGTTCTGGTACAACTTTTGCGGCGTTTTTCGCAGTTGTAAAAACTGCACCTGGAATGATGACGCATTTAGGAGAAGTGATTACTTTTCTTATCTATGGCGTCATAGCTCTTACTGGTACTGGTTTAATGTACTTCATACTACCAGAAACTAAAGGCAAAAGTTTACAAGAGATCGAAGAAAAATTTAGAAATAAGAAAAAATCAAATGACCCTAAAGTTTAGATTTATAATTGTTAGGAATTAAATACTTACTCAAAGTTAATTAGCTTAAAGCGAACAAATGTTTATAATCTGTGATACTCGTGGTCATAAATGACTTTTATTAAATATGTTTATAATATAAATTACTGCATTTTTTCTTTTACATCGTGTATTACTTAAAAATGTAACTTCTGTATTATCTACTATAAATAAACTTAGATTTAGTGTTATGTGTGTGATTGATAGTATATTATTTTATCTGTCCATACTAGACTAGGATTCTGATTGTAATATTTTAGTCACGCCACTCTAAGCGTGAGGTGATAAAATCTTCTATAATATTATCACCATGGCCTTGTTTAACAGGTAGCTTAGTATGTACTTTTGTTTTAGATTTTTCTTGATGTAACTATGCTATGTTCTTATAGATAGCTGATCTTATTATTATTTTAGAACTTTGCAACAATGAATGAGTGCTAATATCTTAAGAAATGAGATTTGTGAGAGAAATTTAAGAACAAATACTTTTTTGCTTAATATTACGTAACAATTTTATTATAAGGTTCAAAATAAAACTGCGATACTATTAAATTTATATTTTAATATCTCTAGTAACATTGAACGATAAAAGGAAAACAAATATATGATAATTAAAATGGCACACGTTTTAGTAATCTAATGTAAACTAACAATAAATGCATACCGGTACTGGCACATGATAAGCGATAATATTTCTAAAATGAAATGTCATTGTAATGAATAAGGATTTTGTTGCTTTTGTGAATTATATTAATTTATGATTGTTAGATTTTGTTTCGTACAACTCAACTGTGTCAAGTGGAATTAGATACTAATGAATAAGATGAATCTTGTTCATTAGAGTTCGACCATATCTCATATAGATCCGTGGAGAAAACGCCATCATCGTAAGACATAATTTTATCATGCCGTCGTCAACTGATTTAGTAATCTAATTTGATAGTAGAAATAATGAAATTAAATCTTCATGATCAAGTTCCTAAATCTACAGAATTAGTTTCATTTACTTCAATATCTTTACGTTTAGTACGTATGAGGTTAACTTTTGCTTCAACTGCCTCATCACGCACAGCGATTCTGTGATCCTCTTTATGTTCAATTATTAGTACGATTATTATTATTGAAAAATATATTTGTATCATGAACTTTCATAAAATGATATACAATGAAATGATTTTAAGTAACGAGCAGGAGATTTTGGACCATCTTTTATGATGTCCTACATGATATGTTACATTAATTAAATATATCATACCTGTACAGTACAATGTAATTGTGCATATTGACATTATTTACTTTCACATTATCAGTGTAATATTTGTCATCCGCAGATTTACTACCATTATAGGCCGTGAGACAAACTCAACTTAAATGTGTTTGTTTTCATTGGCTTCATTTAGAGCTTCTTCCACTATGGAATTGTTAGTATTATAAAATTTGTCATCTGTTTAATATTCGTGATATATAAGAATTTTATTATTATTAATATCTTCAAGAATATCAAATGGTTATCATTCAGTATATCAACAGCAATGAAAAATTACGTCTCTTTTTCTTTGATTCTCACTTGGAGCGCGGCTTTACAAGTCTTGAAGCTGGCGGTGCGAATTTAGTGAAGCCTTGCTGATCGAATACCGGGAGCAGATCTCGGACCCTAGCAGAAACCGTTCCGCCAGTCACTCTGGAAATAAACGGACTTCTATATGTTAGTTATAATATACGAAATAAGAATAACGCAAATACAATTGTTGCGGGTTCGATTCTCGTAGGATATTAACATTTATATGATTGTTTGTATTGGTATGTTTATATGTATTCTATGTATATTATATTATTTCTATGTATGGGTATTAAACAATATATAGAGATACATAGAGGTCGTGGGTTCGATTCCTCGCACGGTACAAACATTTGTATTCATGAGTATGGTTGTTTGTATCGTTCTGGGTGTTTTCTATGTATAATATGTATTTATTTACAAAAAAAAGTATTCATGTATTTATATCAGTTGTCTAGTACCCATAAAACGAGCTTTGCTTAGCTTGGGACTAGATGGCGTTGTCTCAATTGTTAAATGTAATTAGTTTTTAGGAAATGTCTAAGTTATCTGATGGTAAAACTAAAAGATAAGAACATTGTCATTAGATACAAGGTAAAATAGAATCATCTCAATAGATTTTTCTAATTCAATAGAACTAGAAACCAGAGTTCATAGATTCAAGGAATGAAATTAGTCAACGCAAAGAAAATGTGGATATTGTTGTTTAAGTAGATAACATAGTGATAGCTACCCAAGAAAATAACACTAAAGTTATTTATTTTAAAGACCATTTTACCATAATCGAAGGTAATAGCTACCTGCTTGGTTTTATAAGTTTAGCAGCTTGAGCCGGAGTTGCCAATTCCGTAGGGAAATACGTGGCACCATAGAAATCAAGGCCATTCTGAAGCAGAATGTTTGCTTCCTCTATATTGGCGAGAGTGACTCGGATGACGCTGGTTGCCTCTTTGGGGACCATGCTGCTGACCAGTTCTCCATCGATGGTTGTTAGTGCTCGTGGCGGAGTCTTTTCCACTGGTTTAGGAGTCGATGTACCTGGAGTCGGACAGATTTATTGTTTAATTTATTTAGACGTCATGTCTTGGATATGATTTTTAAAAACAACTAAAATAATTGACTTTATTCGTGCATGCTGTTTTCTAAAATTTGTAATGATGAAGTATGCATACAAAATAGGTCATAAGATTATATAACGTTTTATTACATCAGTGATTTAAGGATCATTTCGAAATACAGTTCATTATCCAGTAAAAATCATAAGCTTGCCTAGAAGAGATAGCTTTATAACGATAAGGCTGCCTATATACATAAAACAGTGTTAGAAAATGTTTTACAACAATAAAGTTTGAGCGAGGAGAACTTTACTGTTGTAAAGTTTTAATAGTTTATGATTTCCTGTAAACATTGTGTGATTTTAGTTTATTTGCTGTAATACAGGCATCGTATTTAATTTAACATATATCACATGCACATTCGGTTATGTACCTGGAGATGTGAGTGTTTGTTAGGAGAAAAAAAAAATATCATTTCATTTCATACTGCTGACTATTCTGTTAACGGCAACGCTTGTATGAAGCGGCGGTTACCGCTTACCACTAGCTTAGACATCATTATAATTACATAAAAATTACCATCTCTTGGCGATCCAGAGAAGTGAAGGCGTACGACCTCGACCACAGACGCGTACTTGTACAGAGCATGGCGTACATCTTCCTCTGGCACCTCGTCGGGCACATCGTACACGTAGATCGTGAACGTCTTCTGTGGCCGGCATGGTATTGCGATCTGCAATTAGTATTGTATTATCTGTAGCGGCGTTGATTCGTGGGAATTTGGGAGATGTCATGCATCTGCCATTCCGAAAAAGAATGAAAATTCTTTATTGATCTCCTCACAGAAAAAAATCAAATATATAGATTATTGTGTGTAGATGGATGCGGAAGGCAGAACATCGCACATGGTGGAGAGCATTGGGAAAGGCCTAAATCCAACAGTGGATAAATACGGACTGAAATGATGATTATGCATAAATATATATAAACATACAACAATGAGCAAGACAAAGTCGCTAATAGAGAATTTCTTCCAGAATATAGAATAATAGAATAAAGAGAAGCGATTTGAATCTGGTCGAGGTGTAACAATGATAAACAATGATAATATAGTGAGGTGTGATTTTAAAATGCTGATGTGTAGACTGTATGCCAATCTTGAATGGCCATTAAAGTATCTTCCAAAAAATGTTAAAGAACTGCTTGAAAGCGCATTTGTTAAAACATAAATTATTGTAATAATTTTAAAGTATTCTAAAGATACCTTTGATTATGTCTTTCGATTTCATTATATAATTCTAAATAATTATAAGCACCGTGTATAATTGGACTATAAATTATAAAGCTCCAGAACTACATTTGAATAAACCACTTATTCTTAAGTGGAACGAATGGGATTTTGTTTTTTGAATAATTTTGTTTCTGTAATTGAGCAATATGAATTTATCCAATAAACTAAAATACAGTTATATAGTCATATGTTCAGAATCAGTAAGAAAGTGTTAAGAAGAGCAGATAAAGAGAGATATCGAGAGAGAGGCTGACGATTTTGATGAAATGATATTAGAAGATGCAGACAATGATAAAATAAAAAATAATAATAACAGATTGCGTATATTATGATGTCAAATTTAGCAGAAAGTGTTAAAAAGAGCAGATAAAGACAGAGACAGAGAGAGAGAGAGAGAGAGAGAGAGAGAACGACAATTTTGATGAAATGATATTAGAAGATGCAGAAAATGATAAAATAAAAAATAATAATAACCAAATGCGAACATTATGATGGTAGATTTAGCAATAAAGTGTTAAAAAGAGCAGATAAAGACAGCTACAGAGAGAGAGAGAGAGAGAGCGAGCGACAATTTTGATGAAATGATATTGAAAGGTGCAGACTATGATAAAAATAAATAATAATAGAATGCGAAAATCATAATGTCCGATTCAGCAAAGAAATTGTTAAAAAGAGCAGATAAAGACAGAGATAGAGAGAGAGAGCGACAATTTTGATGAAATGATATTAGAAGATGCAGACAATGATAAAATAAAAAATAATAATAGAATGCGAAAATCATAATGTCCGATTCAGCAAAGTAATTGTTAAAAAGAGCAGATAAAGACAGCGACAGAGAGAGAGAGGGAGATCGACAATTTTGATGAAATTATATTGAAAGATGAAAACAATAATAAAATAAAAAAATACTTATTAAGAATGATACTTGCAATACTTCTGACTACTCCAATTGAGATTACAGCGAAGATATAGAAATGATATTTTGGAAAATATAGCATAAATATAATTTGACCGTTGAAATTATCCCAATTACCTTCCTATAAAACCTGGAGCCAGTGACTTTATGGAAACCTTTCTTGAAGACCATCTGGTAATCGTCCACGCTGGAGAATTTGAATAGAATTCCAGTCGCTGTCTTGGTTAACGAGAAGCAACCTTTGAATTCCATCTTCTCGCAGATGGTGGAAGCCTTCTCCATGCTGAGCCCATGAGAGGGAGTGAGAAGGAAAGCGCCTTTGGTGAGAAAATGTTCAGAATCCGATATATCGGACTCGCTCTCTCCGCCCTTCATCAGAGTATGAATCTGCTCCTTCCACATGTAAGAATCTGACATCTGCCGGCAAAAAATTACTAACTATAGTAACTATTATTACATAGTATAAAACAAAGTCGCTGTCGCTGTCTGTCTGTCTCTATGTATGCTTAATTCTTTAAAACTACGCAACGTAAGATTTTGAAGCACTTTTTTTAACAGATTCAAGAGGATGTATAATACATGTACACCCGTGCGAAACCTTTTAAATAATTGTATTATTACTTTACATTTTTAAGTTTAAGTACAAACCACCAAAGTCAAATAGAAATAATATTGAATAGCTAGTAAGTACTATATATATAAAATTCTCGTGTCGCAGTGTTAGTTGCCATACTTCTCCGAAACGGCTTTACTCATATTGATGAAATTTTATATGTATACTACTCACTCATTCCAATTTTTTGTTTATTTTTTTGCCAATTATATTTTTTTGTTCGTCTTTAAAAAAGTCGTACAAACCAAAATATTAACTTTTATGTAAGAAACAGATTTAGTAGAAAAGATTAAAAAGATCAACTTTTTATTTTTTTCTATTAAATCTCTAGTCGGTACTGGGAGATATGTGAAAAAATATTAAAACAGCAAACTGGTCTATCTGATTCAAAATGTTGATGAATGAATGAAATGATTTTTAATCTGAATTCATCCAAAGTCATTTGTGATTTTTTTTATACTACTATGGCAAACAAGCATACGGCCCATCTGATGGTAAATGGTTACCGTAGCTGAAGCACCAGGGGTGTCACGTGCGCGTTCCGAAACCTTAATATACCTTTCTTGAAAAACCCCATGCTGTAGTCTCGTGAGAAAACCTCGGCAGGAAGTTCATTCCACAATGTAAGTGTACGCGGGAGGAAGCTCCTCTGAAACCGCACTGTCCATGACCACTTAGGTTCCAGCGTGTGGAAATGAATTTTAAAGGCAATTAAACGAATATAATATACATATATCCCATCAAAAACATAAATGTGAAATGATAGCCGAGTTTAATATTATGATATATGCCTTGATTGTTGACTTCTACGACAAAAGAGATGAGATCTAAATAGGTGCTAAGTTCAATGGTCTGTCCTGAAATGTATTTATAATAATATAAAATATCATTTCTTCTTATAACTTAGGATAATATACTGTAGCCTAAGGTCTAACTTGGCCAGTTCTCATATACCAATTATTACTTTCGATTGCTAGTTACTACTAATATTAAAATAGGAACCGACAAGTAACATGTTTAGAACTTGCGAAGGCTACAGTATATTTCGTATATATATATATATATATATAAATTTCGTTAAATTTCAATATATATTGAAAAAAACAGCGACAAGAAGCTAGTATTTTATGTAAAATTAATATAACATGACTACTCAATAGAGTCAGAGCTTACTTAAAGCTTATTATGAATACAATGGGATGAGTGTATTTCCTATAATGATGCCGTTTCGGTTGATCAATCGAAGGGCGCGTTGAGATGTCATTGCGTATAAGTCTGTATTGTTTAAAACTTCCTGCTGTCCAAATATAACTCCTAAACCTTACAACATCAGTCATAAGGTTCATTATCCTTTATTTGTTTAATAGCTGTGTTGCAATTGATAATTATTTTGTCTCATCTGTGCGTATATGTGAGTAAAATTGCGTGGGATCTTATCTATTTAATAGGATGATTTAAAAAATTAAATAAAATATATAACGTGTTGTATTACGATGCATAAGCTATATTACTGTAAAATTCCATCATAATCCGTTAAGTAGCTTTTGCGTGAAAGAGTAACAAACATCCATACTTACAAACTTTAATAAGAATTAAGCTGATAACCCCCGTAATGATGTTCCCCTTTTGTGTTTTACTACTCTATTTTTTTGTTTCTTTCATCATCATCATCATTATCATATTTACATAGTATAAAATAAAGTCGCTGTCGCTGTCTGTCCCTATGTATGCTTAAATCTTTAAAACTACGCAACGGATTTTGAAGCGGTTTTTTTAAATAGATAAAGTGATTTAAGAGGAAGTTTTATATATATAATACATGTACACCCGTGCGACGCCGGGGCGAGTAGCTAGTATAGTATAAAATAAAGTCACTGTAGCTGTCCCTCCGTCCGTATGTATGCTTAAATCTTTAAAACTACGCAACGGATTTTGAAGCGGTTTCTTTTAACAGATAAAGTGATTCAAGAGGAAGGTTTATATGTATGTTCATGTACACCCGTGCGACGCCGGGGCGAGTAGCTAGTATAGTATAAAATAAAGTCGCTGTCGCTGTCCCTCCGTCCGTATGTATGCTTAAATCTTTAAAACTACGCAACGGATTTTGAAGCGGTTTCTTTTAACAGATAAAGTGATTCAAGAGGAAGGTTTATATGTATGTTCATGTACACCCAGGCGAAGCCGGGGCCAGTAGCTAGTATAGTATAAAATAAAGTCGCTGTCGCTGTCTGTCCGTCCCTATGTATGCTTAAATCTTTAAAACTACGCAACGGATTTTGAAGCGATTTCTTTTAATAGACAAAGTGATTCAAGAGGAAGGTTTATATGTATAATACATGTACACCCAGGCGATAGCGATCACCCAGGCGATAGCGGCAGGCGACACCCAATAAAAAAAAATAAAACACCCAGGCGAAGCCGGGGCCAATAGCTAGTAAATAATACAGTATAATAATTGAAACTTCCGTCTTCACAGCGTGTTAAACTAAATATATGGTATACAATTGGTTTTAGACTAGGTGGGCGTTTAAGATCAATATAAAATTGCCATCAATTGTGACTCCTTGTTTTTACCACGCCATAAACCCATATAAGGACAGGCAGTCACTCTGATTAATTGTATAATGATGGTACAATGATTCGAAGGCCACTTTATTACCAATTCCGTTGTTTTTCTAAACTTTATTAGTCTATAGTCTGCCACAGATAATGATATGTTTCAAATTGGTTTTAACCGAGTAATGTTTTTTAGTTGTAATAGCAAAATAGGTTATTTTATGTGATTAGACATAGATATTATTGAGAACAAGCTGTATCCGCGACATCGTTTGCGTGGAATTTAAGTTTATTTTTCTAAAATAAAAGGAGCCTAAGTTACTACTTATTACATCAGCTACCTGCAAAAAAAAGTCCCGTCAAAATCGGTCCAGCCATTTAAGAGATTATCCGGAACAAACAGACAAAGAGATAAAAATTATAAAAAAAATATTTTGCTGTATGTACTGTATGTACTTATATTCAGATGCATTTAGTAAAACACGGTTATTTCTATATTACAAACAGACACTCCAATTTTAAGTTTTCTGCCTTGTCGTTTTCAGCTGCTTTGACAGCCTCGGTGGTCTAGTGGTTTAGCACACTGCTTACTATCCGATGGTCGTGGGTTCGATTCCTCGCACGGTACAAACATTTGTAATCATGAGTATGATTGTTTGTATCGGTCTGGGTGTTTTCTATATATAATATGTTTATATAAAAAAAAATGTATCCATGTATTTATATCGGTTGTCTAGTACCCTGTAGATGGCGCTGAGTGAATTGTCCTGAAATATTATTATTATATTATTATTATTATTTATATATATAGACACGCGGGAAAAATTGTTGGGGAACTTGATATGACACGACGAACTTATCTATACATTAAATAAAATTGGACTGTCTGTTTGTAATATTGAAATAACCGTTACCTACTACATAAAATCACTATTAAAAATAGGGGTTGATGGTAAAAGGCTGAAAATGTAGGGTTGTATATACATTTTTAAATTAAAATATTTCGTACATATATTAAAAAAAAAACCAGGAATGAGTTGGTGGTTATCATTTAGAGAGAAAATTGTTTATTTTGAAAAATATATGTACATATTCAGTAGGTCTAAGAAAGATCTACTGACCTATGTAGAATCTATAAATACAAAATCTCATAGGCATCGGTGAAGCCGTTTCGCAGGAGTATTGTAACAAACAGTGTGACATGATAACTTTGATGTAACAATATGCAGAAGCGTAAACAATAGTAATTGAAAAATTAAATATCAAAAATATTCAGTTGAAATTACTATTAATTACTAGAACACTCATTACTAGAGACCGGATTATATGCAACATAAAAAGCTTATTATATGCATGCAAATATGCATGAAAAATGCTTGAAATATGCAAGAAAATTGGCAGAATATACAAAATTAAATGATAAATTTTAGGAATCCAAAAAAAAAATTAGAAAAGTATTATCTTTTATTTCAAAATCAGCATAAAATTAGTAAATTATTTTTTGATAGGGAGAGGTGCAGTAACATTATATGACATTAAAATATTTTTTTTTGTAAACGTAAGCAAGTATGAACATGAAACAATTATATGCGTAATAGGTCTGTCTCATTCATTGTATTATCGTAAATTAAAAAAAAAACACGCGCGCGGGGAGTGCCTGCGTTCCGAAATGCAGTAAAAGTCACAATTATTACTCAATAGCTCTTATACTTTGTGACTTTTATTATATTAAATTTAGTTGCATTTCGGAACGCAGGGTGAGTGAAAAATATTGTAAATGTACCGATAATATGCGTCATAACTAGATCTTAGGTAAAATATGCTATTACCTCTGAGAATAGCTAAAATATAAATATGCAAATGATATGCGAATATGCAAATGCATATAATCCGGTAGAGACCGAGATAATAAAACAAACTATAGTAATGAGTAGAGACTCATTACTATAGTTTGTTTTATTATCTCGGAGACGAATTTGACATTATCTGTGTTGTCAGTTTTGTAATTTAATACCGTAAAATATGTATGGAAACTAGATTAAAGTCTTTTTGTATTGTTTAATTTCAAAGTAATGGAAACACTAATGTACATAAATATTTTTATTTATTTATTAGGTCTACAGAACTGTATGTCTTACAGAGTACATAACTTTACACACATAAAACAAACTATACTTGGTGCCACTGAAAATCAGCTGTATGTTCACATAGAACATACATTAAAGTTGAGTGGAGCCATTTCAGTGCCTATATGGATGTAAAAAAATGATTAAAGATATTTTATGTTTATTTTTAACTTTGCCCGCGGCTTCGCTCGCTTTAATTTATACCCTTAGGGGTGGAATTTATCAAAATCCTTTCTATGGGGATGCTAAGTCATAGTAGCTTTATGCATGCAATATCTCAGCCCGATCGGTTTAAAATTAACAAAGTTTCATGCAAACATTCATCCCTTATTTTATCCCCTTGGGGGTAGAATTAATCAAAATTCTTTCTTAGCGGATGCCTACGCCATAACATCTACCTGCATGGCAAATTTCAACCCGATCCGTCCAGTGGTTTGGGCTGTGCGTTGATAGATCACTACGTCAGTCACATTTGAGTTATATATATTTAGATTATCTGCATGGTAAATTAAGTTTAATTATATACACATTTTATTTGATTTTTTTTAATTTCGTTTGTTTTTTATATTATGTGATTGTATTGTATTTTTTACATTGTTGAAAAGCACTGAATAAAATATTTTCTTTCTTTCTATTCAAGTAATACATCCTACTAGTAATTTGTAATAATAATTTGTATTCATCATCGATCAGACTTAGACGAATTGAGAAAAAACTTTTTTAAACATAATTAAAAAAATAGTAGAGCTCCAAATGTTTTGAGTTAAACTATACCTAATAATTTGTCAAACTGTATTTAATAATCAATATTATTAAATACAGCACATATATTTATCTACCGATCTATATACACCTAAAAATTAATTGACCAATAAAAAAATTTCATTTCATTACCAAAATTTTCATAAAAAAAAATATATTTTTGGAGGAAATTTTTATTCAAACATAGCGTAAATGTGGTATACATACATATATATATATATTTATATGTATGTCTGTATGTTTAAATACTCGAAAAATAAATAAAGAAATCACGTACCTGCCCTCGGCCTTTTTCGTTCTTCTTCTTGCTCGCACCCGAATTTGTATTATTCTGTTTGTCTTCTTCGGTCCTATTCTGTTCTGTGTCGGATGCTGCCCCCGCTAAGGACATGGTATTCTGACTGGCGGCTGCTCACGACCGCCGCTTTTCGTTGAGACTGATGCTAAATCACCCGTGGAGCGGCGCTCCTTGATTTTGTTGGACTAGCAGTGGCGTGGAGTGGGTTTGTAATTTTTGTGTGGGCGTTAGTTACGGTCTAATTTTTAATGGAGCTGGTAAACAGCTGATTGAAACAAATAAACATTCGAGAAAAAGTAGTAATCGTTGGTTATTAATCGTCTTATGTATTGCCTTTTTAAGGTTTAAGTTTTTGTATCTGTATACCGTAATTTTAATATCATGTCTCATTATTATAATCACAATAGAGCTTGCGAAAAAGTTCTCTTATGATTTTTATATTATTAGTTATGCATACATTTTAATCTATAAGATTTATTTTCATAAATGAGAAGAAAACGAGAAAATTATTGTAATATAAGGGGACAAATTCGATAGTTGTATTTTATGCTATTTTGACAGTACAAAAAGAAATCAAAAACTGCTACTTTATTGGAAGTGGACAATTGAAAATAAGGAGATAAAAAGAATAGAATGCAATAGAAAATCCTTTATTTAAATAAACTTAAATTTAAGCACTATTGAATAGTCATACTTATTCATTGTTAATCTACCTTATTGGGTAAGCTATCTCATCACGAGAAGAACGTACAAAAACTTGCGTGTTGCCTTTTAAAATAATTGTTGTAACTTTACATTTCTAAGTTGAAATTTGTGAATACAAACTACCAATTAGCAGTAATTCATTAGAATCAAAATAGAAGAGAACAGAACAGAAGTAGAACCAGTCTCCGTCTCCAAATGGAAATAATAAGAAAGTTTTTGCATAGTCTTTTCAGTTGAATCTTTTTAATGAAATATGTGATAGAGCTTAATATGCCCATTATTAGAATGATTTAATTTACGTTTAATTTGAAGATATTACAAAAAAAACATATTAATAGCTATTTATGTATTCATATTCTAATCCATATTTTAAATAATTATTGTGTACATCGATATATCATATCTTCACTTTTGACGGACTCGGTGGTTTAGTGGTTGAGCATGGAGCTTCACTTCCTATGATTCGATTCCACGCACGGTGGTAACATTTGTATTCATGAGTATGATTGTTTGTATCGGTCTGGGTCATTTATATGTATATTATTTATGTATATAAGTCATATATTTAAATAAATTTTTGATTATCTCTTGAATGAACAAAATGGTTCTTAATTATCTATTGTTGTCATAATATATATGTAAATTTCTCTTTTATTTATTTTTATTGGTGTATAAATGTGCCGTGTATATATATATATATATATTATGTTTATGTATTATATGTATTATAGTTGGTATATATTTATATTTATGTACGTATATTTGTAATTATTTTTAAGAAAACCTATTTACCTATGTTAATTAAAATTATAGGTTAGTCCTTTCCCGCCACTGCCCATCAACCGCTTTCTGTTCTTACCTAATAGTTAGCTGATAGAGAATGCCATATGGCATTAAGCTCGCCAAATTGTACAATCTTTAAAAGTGCAATAAAGAATAAATAAATAAAATAAATAATTATATCAGTTATCTAGTACATATAAGACAAACTCTGCTTATCTTAAAACTAAATGTCGAGTGTGTGTGTGTGAGTTGTTTAGTATTATTACGATTATATTAATATTGTAGAGATAGCATATTTTGTTATGAGGGACGTAAATCTCTGAACTACTACGCCGATAACTTTTTAGAAAGTAACTTTGAAAGATACACTATTCAGATTGTTCACAGTTTCCACTATTGCAGAGTGATAAGGATTATGTTAATATATAAAAAATACACAGAGTTACAGATGAGTACACGGACAAAACACGCGGCTATTATCTACATAGAAATTTCTACACAGAATGACGACTCTATGGTTTTTGAACTATTTTTATTGTAGCCGCTATTCTTTAAGAAATAGGCACGTTATGTCACAATAGTACATACCATCAATATACACAATTACTGTTAACAGTAGATTTATTGTTATTCACATGACAACTCGTATATTACTTCACATTTTTTCTTACATTGCTGTTTTTATTTAGCGTAGCAACATGGGCGAATTCGCGGGTAATACTTGTATATGATATTATGTATATATACATATATAAAAATAATATTATTAATGTTTAATCTATTGAAAAGAAATTCTATTTCTAGAACACTTAAACATAAATATGCCTAATAAATAAGATTAATAATCGTGAGCAATTTACACAGCGCCAACTGATCCCAAGAAAACCGGAACATGTCTTAGGGTACTAGACAACTGATATAAAAAATATTTTTTATATAATATATATTTGCCACATACCCGCTGCTCTTTAGTTTACTTATAATGATCACGGTGGTAACACGGTGGAACTCAATATTTCGTTTTATATATTATTATAGAGTTCCCAATACTTTCTCTACTCCACTCTCGCACATTACCGTTTGGTGGAAGCTGTGAAGCCTATCTGCGTTTTAGCGTTCGAATATTTTGAAACAGAAGGAGATGAAATCTATGCAAATATTATATTTACTACATCATCATAGCATATATCCTTATTATGCATATTAACAACTGCTATTTTAATATTAGCCTTGAATATTTGACAAAATACATTCTTATGAAGTCAATGGGCCGTGACAAATATGATATAACTTTTTGTTCTAGCTCACCTCCCGAGAATGGGACGCTTCACTGCTTCTTCCTAGCTACTCTCAATGTATACACATATATTGTAGCTAGACATTTTTTTTAATCAAAGAACAAAGTTGAATCCAAGTTAATACGTATTTCCCAAAATACCCATAATAATTAATAAGATAAAATCTAAATAGATACAATTAGACTTACTTTGTAGTAAGTCTAAGCATTGTTCATGAAGTTGTGCTCAACAAAATTTATAAACTTAATTTTCATAACTAAAAGTACGTAGAGTAAACAACACAAGAGATCGCCCAATTCGTCTATAATTAATTTAACATTCAGTAAGTTCTATAGACAAATAATATTAAAACAAACAATATTAATCTGTGGTATAGAACCACAGACAAATTGCAATGTGTTTAATGCATTTTTATTGACTTCATGCATGATTTAAAAAAAAAGATTATTATTCTGCATTCCTTTTTTATATTATACAAGTGCATACATTTTAAAGATTAGCATTTTGTATTCCTTTTTATATTATATATTAAAGTGTATAAATTTTTATACTCCATCCGCGGGATTTTCGAAAAAGGGATACAAAGTTTTTGATTTACGGTTTATGTTTAATATAAACCATAAATCAAAAACTTTGCAAGCAGCAAGTTGTGTCTATAAAAATATAAATATATTTTTATAGAGACAACTTGGTAACAGTGTCTGTATCATGCAAAATTATTGGTTGAACTAAACTAGAATCATCATCTGATGCAACCGTTACATTTTTAAACTCATTCTCAATATCTAGAAGAGTCTTATCTTTAGTCTCCGGCATAAATTTTAACAAAAACAGCGAACAATAACTGCATACACCGGCATATATTAAATATGTTCCATGTAAACCTATAGATTTCTTAAGATACGGAAAAGATTTGACTACTCCAGATATTGCTATTGTAAAGTACAAAGTAGTGATACCTGCTGAAAAACTGCGATATTCAAGAGAAAATATTTCACCATCTAAAGCAAACGTGAGTGGAAATATACCAACTAAAAATGTGAATAAAATCAAATGGATCAATATAATTCCTATAATTGGATGATCGAAAGGTAACATATCATTTACTTTACAGTAGGAATACAGAGCTGTGGCTAATAGAACAAATATATTTAAATTAAGAAACGTGGAGAGAATAAATCTTCTTTTACACTTCCTCATAACAAAAACTGCGATTGCATTGTAACAAAATCCCATAATGTCTGTATACACTATTTGTAGATTAATATCAGTGTCTGGACTGGTTAATGCAGTAAAAACATCTTGAATATAAATCACTATAGAATTTGAGCCACACCAATGGCCAAATGTATAAATGTGGACCATTATTAGAATTGGCATGTAGCCTTCCCTTAACTTAATTGCATTTAAATTCTTCAATAGTTTAATTTTAGTATCTGTTAAAAATCCTTTAGATGTTGTGCTTTTATGTATTCTTTTAGATATAACACTTATAATGTTTTCCAACTCATTTATTTCTTCTTTTTCCCTAAGCCAATAAAATACTCGCTTAGAGTCTTCGTATCGTCCTTTCTCAGCTAACCAGCTTGGAGATTCTGGAGTAATTACAATTATGAATAATCCGACACAAGTAATGAACATACAGACCAAAGCAGTCAGTTTCCAACTAAAATAAGACCCTGTAGTGTGAACTAGCGTAGTCGTAAGTGTCATTAGAATAATCATTATAGACGTGAATAGTGCTCGATTCTTAGGACTTGTGTATTCAGCAATTACTATAGATGGCAAAGCAGTTACCATACCCATAGAGAATCCTTGAAAAAGTTTTCCAACGAGAATCAAAGTGACATCTTGACTTAAAATTATAAACACCCAACCAATTAGAGATACTATGTTAGTAACTAGACTAGCAGGTTTTCTGCCATAATGTCCCATAATTAAGGGCAAAGATAAATTACCCGCAAATAATGTTAAACCATGCACGGAAGCTGAAAAAGAAATAAATGAAATGACATATTTTTTAAAACTATAATATAATCCACATGTCATAAGCGAATTTAATCCAACTAATGTTAATTAAGTTAAAAAAACAATTATATTTGTAAATATAGATTCATTAATACTACGATTTTACAAAATTTTAATGTAAATAATTATTATGATTTACGTAGCTTTTTAGATTATTTTATTTTTCATACTTTTTCATACTTATTAGGATTTTAACAAATACAACGATATTTTTTAAAATATTTGCACTAGTTTAGATCGAGATCGTATCTGTCTGTATTTTTTATTTGTAAAATATTTTACATTTTATTGATAACAATTTATTGATAATTTATTAGGTATTTTAAATTTAAGTTATACCAATCCAAGAAGCCGAATTATCATCTACTGGAATGCTAGAGTCATCTCGCTGCAGTTGTGGGAGTAGGCGGGCGGTATAACTAGGTACCATAAAAAGAATTGCGTTGTTGAAAGATGCGCCCAGTGTAACAAAACACTAAAAACATATAAATTTATTTGTATAAGAAAATTTAATAAACTCTGAAATTAAAATTACCTTAACATTTGATATATTTAATGTATTCAAATAGTTCATTGTTACTATGGTAAATTTTGGAGATTTTAAAGATTACGGAACAATTATATTAAGATTATTTAAAATAATTAAAATTATTTAAAATATAATATCAATCCACAAAAGAACACCCTCAGGATAACATTAACGTAGAATTAATGAAAGACTTAACCATATTGAATCACTTACTTGCTTCATAAATGGAGATATGTACATTTTCAATTTCCAAACTTGTTGACTGAACTGAATGTGAATTGGCAATGCTAGTTTTGTTTAAATTACGCCACATTTAAAGAATTATTGTATTCTCTTTACTCGAATTCAAGGTGAAGTTGCGTAAATAAAACCTTTAATATATTATTAATACGTTTATAACAACGAAGTTTTAAATTCGATTTACATGAGACGCGATATCATCACCAAAAACAATAACATTTCATTGACATTTATTTTTAAATAAATGATACATGTAAATATTAATGAAATTAAATTATGTATCGATATTCGTGATGACTTTACAGCATCTAGATAATGGTTATCAATATATTTACAACATCATTCGTGTCTGATGTACATATTTTTTGATTAGAGCAAAAACCAGAAACCAAATTTTTCACATCTAGACACGCGGTAGCATGTCAAGCCGAGTTTCAAGTAACTGGCGAGCAGCACCGTGTGTATATTTACACGAACCATTTGGAGCCACTTTTGACCCCCTCATAACTCAAAAACTCTTTCACATAAACCTGTCAAATTTGGTTCATACATTGAGACTTGCGAGATAAATATGTGTTCCAAATTTCATAAACATATCTCAAACGGTTATTTAGATATTAACGTCCAAATATCGTCATTTTTATCACTGATCAACTATAGATCAAAATTATAACCCACTTCCAGATGACCTAGGAAGTTCAAATTTGGCATACAGATAGGTAATTAGGTATATAAAGGAAAAAATCTGAAACTGGTAAATTGTTATCATTTTATTATAATTTTTCACTTTAATTGATTCTATTTCAACTTATATTGGACGAATACTAAAATTCTATGAAAACGTCGATAGCCACCAATGAATATTGATCCCTGGAAAAATAGCTCATCTTGTACTGGACGGAAAGTAATATTGTATGAAAACGTCGATAGCTACCAATTACCAGCTAGATTATTATAATACACAATGTACATTCAAAATATCAATCAAATAAAATAAATCATAAGGTATTAGGTTAGAATCAAGCGACTAGAGGCAAACTTTACAAAGCTGCCATCCATTTCATTGCACGAACTCATAAGCACAATTTCAAGATAAAAGAAGTGGAACATAATAAAAAACATACGTATACCAATAAATATATTTATTTATTCAGTATAGAAAACTATTTAACAGAATTTAAATCTTGTAACGTTAGGGGTTGAACTAAATTAGAATCATCTGCTGCAACTGTTACTTTTTTGAACTTATTCTCAATATCTAGAAGGGTCATGTCTTTAGTTTCAGGCATAAATTTCAGTAAGAAAAGTAAACAGTAACTACATATACCGGCATATACAAGATATGTGTTATGTAATCCTATAGAATTCTTTAGGAATGGGAAAGATTTTAATGATGTAGATACTGCTATTGTAAAATATAAGGTAGTGATACCTACTGAAAAACTACGGTACTCTAAAGAAAATACTTCACCATCGATAGTAATTGTAAGAGGTAATATACCAACTATAAATGAAAAAAAGAACAGATGTATTAATATGATACCCATAATTGGATAATGAAAAGGTAACAAGTCGTATACCTTACAATATAAATACAGTGCAGTAGTTAGTAGGACAAATATATGCAAAGTAAGAAACGTGCAGAGAATGAATCTTCTTTTACATGTCCTCATGACAAAAACTGCTATTATGCTATAAAAGAGCCCAAAAATATCTAGTAATAGTATCTGTATATTGATATCAGTATCGGGACTTGTTAAAGCAGAGAAAATATCTTGCATATAAACAATTGTTGAATTTGAACCACACCAATTGACAAATGTATAAACATGGACCATTATTAAAACTGGCATGTAGACTTCTCTTAACTTGATCGCATTTATATTCTTCATAAGCTTAGTTTTCTTTTGATAGAAGAATTCTTTAATGGTAATTTTTCTTTTATTTAATGTTTTAGAAGTTACACTTATAATATTTTCTAACTCATTTATTTCTTCTTCTTCTCGGAGCCATAAGAAAACTCGCTTAGAGTCTTCGTATCGTCCTTTTTCGGCTAACCAACTAGGAGATTCTGGAGTCATAATAATTATTAATAAGCCCAGAAAAGTAATCAATATGCAGAATGAAGCAGATATTTTCCAACTGAAATAAGATCCTATAGTGTGAACTGCCGTAGTCATAAGTGATATCAGAGTAAGAGTTATTGATGTAAATAATGCTCTATTCTTAGGACTTGTACATTCAGCAATTACAATCAATGGTAAAGAATTTACCATACCCATTGAGAATCCATGAAAAAGCTTGCCAATGAGAATCAGTGTGACGTTATTACTTAAAGCTATACACACCCAACCAATTAGAGCCATTGTGGTACTAACTAGACTTGCAGGTTTTCTACCATAAAGTCCCATAATAAATGGCAGACAGAAATTACCTAGAAATAAGGTAAATCCGTGCATGGAAGCTGAAAAATAAATTAAAGTTACATGAATCAAGTTTTATGTATCTATGTATTTATCGGACAATTCTTCAGGAGATATTCTGGTGTGATTCTAAAAACATCTCCTGAAGAATTGTCCGATATGAAATCTAATCGCTTAGAACCTAAATGGTGCCGGGTTCAGAGGAGCTTCCTCTTTCGTACACTGAGATTGTGGAATGCACTAACTGCAGAGGTTTTTTCGCGAGACTATACGCATGGGGTTTTCCAAGAAGGGTATTTTGAGGGTTGGCAACGAGCACGTGCACGAGCACCCGTGGTGTCGTAAGCTACGATAACCATTTACCATCAGAGGGGCTATATGCTTGTCTGCCACTATCATAGTAACAAATATACTACAATTACAAATCTGCTGTACTTTCACTATCATATCTCATATTTCAAACCAGACTACAGCCTGTAAAGTAAGCTGCTTGCGGCAGAATTAGGTGAGACCGAGAAGGACACGTAGATGACCATTTGCGTATCTCTCTCTGGTTTAAAACTACTTCAAATTAGAAAATTACCTATCCAAGATGCAGAATCATCATCTATCTGAATGGTGGAGTCATCACGACGCAGTTGAGGAAGTAAGCGTGCTGTGTAATTTGGTACCATTACTATTATTGCTTGATTGATGGTTGCGCCCAGAGTTACCAAGCACTGAAATCATTTTGAAACAATAATGTAATAATCTCTGTAGATGAACTACATCTAATGGGAAATGGCAATTTTTCACCAATAGATACTATAGGGACTGTTAATGAATTGTAGGCATTTGAAATAAATAATAGTAATAATACCCCTGGACAATGAACACGTCATCTAGTACGGATGTAAGAAGAGTTTGTATTATTTCACCTCTTTAGATAAACAGCATCTAATGTTAGACATAGACACCTATATAAATATACATTGTAAATAAACTGGCTTTAAAAAAAAAAAGTAATTCCATTGAGTTTCTTGCCAGTTCTTCTCAATTGGATCTATATACCGAACTGGACGGTAGGGAAAAAAAATAAAATTAGAATGTAAAAATTTGACGTTCATAAGCGGCTAAAATGTCCTACATGAATAAATGATTTTTTAATTTTAATTTGGGAAATGACAATTTTAAACTAATAGATACTATAGGGACTGAATAATTGTAGGCATTTGAAATAAACAATAATATCATACGTCATCTAGTCCGAATCAAAGCAGAGCTTTTGTTATAGACCCAACTGATATAAATATTTAGCTATTTTTTTTGTAAATACCTACATAATTGGCCTTGAAAACATCCAGATCATACTGATATAAAGAATTTTACTTATGTATTTATTAGAAAGCCTTGGTGATGTAGCAGTTTAACACATCGCTTTGCTTCCGATGGTCATGGGTTTAATTCCTTGCACGGTACAAACAATTTCGTATCCATGAGTATATTTGTTTGTATTGGTCTGGGTTTGTCCTATATTTGTTATATATGCATTTTCAAAAAGAAAAGTATAAACTATTTCAATCAGATGTCTTACACCTATACCACATGCTCTGCTTAGTTTGGGACTGGATAACGCAGTTTGAATTGTCCAGAAATATTATTATAATTATTCATATACTAGCTACTCGGCCTGGCTTCGGTCATATATTATATATATGACCTTCCTCTTGAATCATTCTATCTATTAAAAAACCCCGGATCAAAATCCGTTGCGCAGTATTAAAGAATTAAGCATAGGGACGGACACACAGCAACAGCGACTTTGTTTTATACTATGTAATGATTTACTTTTTAAATATACAATACGAATATGTTAAATTATCATTTGCATAATAATACAGATATTATATGAACAGTTGATCAAACTTACTTGTTTCATAAACGGAGTTATATTCATCTTCGAAATCAGTAAAAAAAGTAACTACACAAAAGAATAAATGTACAAGAGATTCATCCACATGTTGTTTTAACACCATAGATTAGACGAAGCCATCTGCTTTAATATGTTTAGTACAATTTGCTAAAAATTTCAATTTTATTCTTTATGTTCTGGAGGAGGTTTTTCAAGTCGACGCTAAGTTTTTTCTGCAGCCAATCTTTGGTTTCACTGCACTTATAATGTGGTAAAGAGTCAGGCCGAAACTCATAGCTGATTAAAAAAATGCAGATAAACATTGGCAATGTCATTTTTTTCTTCACAGTGTTGTGCGTATAATTAAGGATACTATATGCTTATATTTTCTGTTTAAATTTCAACTGTCTTGTTTTCAAGGTGCGTATTATTTAAACAATTGCAAATTTTTACTAAATAAAAATTTAGTATAATTTTATTTATAAAAAAATTCTGTTAATGACGACTAATGTAATAGTTTTATTAGAGTACCTACTCAGAAATATATATTAATATATATCGAGGCTAAATAGTAGAAAGTAATATTATTTTATTATTCGACGGCCTCGGTGGTCTAGCGGTTTAGCGAGTCATCGAAGGCACGACCATCGGAAGTAAGGATTCCGATGGTCGTGGGTTCGATTCCTCGCACGGTACATACATTTGTATTCATGAGTATGATTGTTTAATATTATAAGGTATTAGGTTAAAATCAAACAACTAAACAAGGTAAACTTTACAAAGTTGCCATTCGTTTCATTGCACACGAAACTCATAAGCGCAGTTTCAAGATAGAAAAAGAGGAAAAACACAATAAAAAAAATACGTAGATCAATAAATATTTTTCTTTATTCAGTATAGAAAACTATTTAACAGAATTTAAATCTTGTAACGTTAGGGGTTGAACTAAATTAGAATCATCTGCTGCAACTGTTACATTTTTGAACTTATTCTCAATATCTAGAAGGGTCATGTCTTTAGTTTCAGGCATGAATTTCAATAAAAACAGTAAACTGTAACTACATATACCGGCATACACTACATATGTGCCATGTAATCCTATAGAATTCTTTAGGAATGGGAAAGACTTTATTGCTATAGATACTGCTATTGTAAAGTATAAGGTAGTGATACCTGCTGAAAAACTACGGTATTCTAAAGAAAAGACTTCGCCATCAATAGTAATTGTAAGAGGTAATATACCAACTATAAATGAAAATAGAAACAAATGTATTAATACGATTCCTATAATTGGATGATCATAAGACAGCATGTCATATACTTTACAATATGAATACAGTGCAGTGGCCAGTAAGGCAAATATATTCAAAGAAAGAAACGTGCAGAGAATAAATCTTCTTTTACATTTTCTCATAACAAAAACTGCGATGATATTATAACAGAGCCCTAAAATATCCGTTAATAGTATCTGTATATTGATATCAGTATCGGGATTTGTTAAAGCAGAGAAAATATCTTGCATATAAACAATTGTTGAGTTCGAACCACACCAATGGCCAAATGTATACACGTGTATCATTATTAAAACTGGCATGTAGCATTCTCTTAACTTGATTGCATTTATATTCTTCAACAGCTTAGTTTTCTTTTGATAGAAGAGTTGTTTTGATGTTATTTTTCTCTTATTTAATCTTTTAGAAGTAACACTTATAATATTCTCTAACTCATTTATTTCTTCTTGTTCTCGAAGCCAAAAGAAAACTCGCTTAGAGTCTTCGTATCGTCCTTTTTCGGCTAACCAGCTAGGAGATTCAGGAATTATTATGATTATTAATTGACCCGCAAAAGTAATTAGTATACAGATTAAGGCAGTTAGTTTCCAACTGAAATAAGACCCTATAGTATGGACTACCAAAGTCATAAGTGATATCAGAATAAGAGTTATTGATGTAAATAATGCTCTATTCTTAGGACTTGTATATTCAGCAATTACAATCGATGGTAAAGAATTTATCATACCCATTGAGAACCCATGAAAAAGCTTGCCAATGAGGATCATTGTAACGTTATTACTTAAAGCTATACACACCCAACCAATTAGAGACATTGTGATACTAACTAGACTTGCAGGTTTTCTGCCATAAAGTCCCATAATAAAAGGTAGACAGAAATTACCCATAAATAACGAAAATCCGTGCATGGAAGCTGAAAAAGAAATTAAAATTGCATAAGTTAATGTAGAAATAATTTATACTTACGGCTACCTTTTACTATCTTAGAACTCGTCATCGATAGGGAATTCATCCCTACAAGGTAGAATCTAAGTTGTCCCGTGTCCGGAGGAGCTTCCTTCGTGCACATAGATTGTGGAATGAACTACTTGCCGAGGTTTTCTCGGTAGACTACGACATGAGGTTTTTCAAGAAGGGTATATTAAGGTTTCTTAAGGGTCAGCAACGTGCAAATCTCTGGCGTCTTAGGCGCCCATAAGTTACGGTGACCATATAACATTAGAAGGGCCGTATACTTTGTTTGCCATGATCGTAGTACAAAAAAATGTAATCCAATTGTTACAAGTTATTAGACGAAAAATTTCGTAGACATCGTCGTTTCGTAGTATCTCCCACTTTTTTATCATTAATATTATTATTTTAATTTTATATATCTTTACCTTTTCCTAAATCTCTAATATGTTTTATATCTGTTGATATTTCAAATCAAAAATAATTTATTCATGTATGTTATTTTAGCATGATTTACAACTCAGACTATAAATTGTAAAACTTACTACTAGACTATTAGCGGCAGAATTATGGGAGACCGAGGAAGACACGTAGATGACTATTTGCATATCTCTCTCTGGTATAAAATTACTTTAAATTAGAAAATTACCTATCCAAGAGGCAGAATCATCATCTATCGGAATTGTGGAGTCATCTCGACGCAGTTGAGGAAGTAAGCGTGCGGTATAACTTGGTTCCATTGCTATTATTGCCTGGTTGATGGATGCGCCCAGAGTGACAAAGCACTGAAAATATTTTGAAACAATTATCTAAACTTACCTTTTTGGACTACATCTAATGGGAATCACCTTTTTAACTAATGGATATAACAAGGGCTTCTAATGCGTTGCAGGCATTTGAAATATTTGTATTATATGTTTAGCGGATATTATAGGACCTCTATTACTTAAATATCTAGTGTTAGTCTGGTATAGGTAGCAGAGGAAAAGCGTGGAGAAAGAATGAGACCAGTCGTGGCTTTGTATATGTGTGTATTCTTATGTTATTTACAGTTGGTAAGTAAATGTATAAATATGTTTTGAAATTTCACTGTAAATGAAATAGAAATAGAAAAAATCTTTATTCAAATGAACTCATTATAAGCACTATTGAATAGTCATATTTTGATTCTACCACTCATTCAGAATGCAGATTCATCACAAGAAGAATGAGCAAGAAACTTGTGTGAAACCAGATGTTTTCTTTTTAATAAATTATCCAATATAACAAGTAAGCGGCATGCGATAATCAACATAGAATTTGAAACAAAACTGGAAGGACTTATTATTAATTACAGAGTGTATTTAAGACAAAAACGTTACATTTTTTTTTTATTGATTACCATTAACAATTGAACTTGACTTTGACAATTGAGTCAAGCACCCTCGACTCTCTATCACTTAAACTTTGTGGTCAGAGTAATATGTTGATTAATATAAATGTAACAAATAAATTAGAAAGTTAACTATGAGGAACCATAATACACTTTTAGCGAAGCAAGTAAGGAAATAAAAGAACAAATATAATTTAAAACAAAACTGAGTTTTTGGAAATCTAAGCGTATTTAAGACATTTTTTTTAAATACATTTTTTTTCCATTAAAACCCGAAAAGATTCTTTTTGCTTCCTGTAGGAAGCTGCCTTTTTACTTTAATATTTGCTCGTTAATATTGACGGCCTCGATGCCTAGTGGTTTAGCACATTGGTTTAATTCCGATGGCCGCGGGTCTTTGCACGGGTGTTACCTATTATACAAATATATTAAAAATAAAAAATGTACGAATGTATTAAGTTATCATTTGCATACAGTTATTACACTAACAGACGATTAATTTTTTTTTATAACACAGGCGACAAACTAGCATGCTGCTCACCTGATGGTAAGTGATTACCGCCGCCCATGAGCACCCGCAACACCAGGGGAATTGCAAGTACGTTGTCAGCCTTTTAAAAAGGAATAAGCTCTTTTTCTGAAGGTTTCAATATCGTATCGGTTCGGAAATACCATTTCTGGAAGGTGATTCCACAATGTGGTTGTGCGTGGCAAAAAGTTTCTAGAAAACCGCACTGTGGAAGACCGCCATTCATCTAGATGATCAGGATGGTATTTCAGTTTCTGGCGGATGGTACGGTGGGGAAACTCAGCAGCTGGTATTAATCCGAACAATTCCTCAGAACACTCCCCGTGATATATGCGGTAGAAAATACACAGAGATGCAATATCTCGCCGCAAAGCCAATGGGTCGAGTCTGCCACATACTATTACATACTACTATTTTACTTACTTGTTTCATAAACGGAGTTATATGCATGTCCGGTAACACTGAATAAAACGAACTACACAAGAGAAGTGTACAAGAGACTCATTCACATATTGTTTTAACACCATAGATTAGATGCCGTTTGCTACAATAGTTTTAGTAAGAACTGCTAAAAATTGCAATTTTCTTCTTACTTCTCGGCTTCTGGATGGGGTTTTCAAGACGTGCCTAGTTTTTTCTGTATAAACACAACCTATCTCAGCTTTCACTGCAGTTATAATGAGGTACAGTGCCACATTTGAACTCATAGTCAAATAAAAAATGTAGATAAACATAGGTAATGTCATTTTTTACTTCAAGTATGTGACAGAATTGTGCGATAATTAAAGATACTATACACTTTTATGTCATGTATAAATTTCAACTGTATTTTTTTCACGGGGCGTGTTATTTAAACAACTGCAAATGTTTACAACATTTTGAATTTATAAATTCTCTGTTACACTTAGTTTTATTAGAGTACTCAAAAAAATATATAAATATATGTCAGTTAACTATATAATGTTATTATTTGACGGCCTCGATGATCTAGCGGTTTAGCATACCGCTTTACTTCTGATGGTCGTCGGTTCGATTCCTCGTCCGGTAAAATTATTAGTAGTGCATTGTATTCATGAGTATGATTGTTTGAGAAGGTACTTTTACTAACAACTAATGTAGTATTAGAGTATTAAAAAAATATATAAATATATGTCGTGGCAAAATAGTAAAAAGTAATAATTTATAATAATGTTAAGTATTTATAGAATATTATGGACTATCGTGACATCGTTGTTGTAATAGAAATAGAAATAATCTTTATTCAAATTACCTTTTGAATAGTCATATTTTGATTCTACCACTCATTCGGAATGCAGATTCATCACAAGAAGAATGAACAAGAAACTTGTGTGTTGCTCTTTTTAATAGATGTTTTTTTTATATAAATAATTACAGTATAACAAGGAAGAGGCATGCGATAATTTACATAGAAATAGCTATGCACTCATTATTAGTGTAATCAGATAATATTGTCAGTGCTATGGATTTTAAGTTTTCTATAGAAACATTATTATCGTTAACAAATTCTTCAATTTTATAGTAAGCTTTTTTGCAAAGGAAGTGTTTTATATGACATTTAAATCTTTTTTCAAGCAGATTTATAACCACAAGCCACAAGTCTGGACATTTTAGTGAGCATGACTACTCAAAACACTAGACCACGTCATAGCTACTTACAATTGCCATCTGATAGTAATAGTATTCACATTTTACATAAGAATGCATGCGGCAATCATTCATTTATTCATTCGTTCACACCGCCAAGTTTAAAATCTTACACGCATATAATTATGCAAAAATAACATACCAAATGACCGATTTACAACAATGCAATATGATAAAATCATTCTCAACATAAAGGTGAAAGAAGAAACAACAAGAGGCAGATATAATCTACATATATCATACCATATTTAAAATTCTCGTGTCACAATGTTAGTCACCATACGCTGTAACAGCTTGACCGATTTTTATGAAATGTTGTGAGTACATTCAGTAGCTCTTTGAATAAAATATACATTATTTTTCATATCTATAACTGAGAATGGTGGTCCATATTTTTTTTTTAATTGAGGGCAAACGGCTTATTTTGTTTTTCGGGTTAGGCATTAACACCTTCAGCGCCAGACCCTAAGTCACCGTTTTAAAAAAAAGATTATAATTTTTTTGTAAAATTACCGATTCCCAGACCATTTTCATCGAAAAATGCGACAAGCCAGGGCTTTCATTTGTGTAATAGTCATAATATGTACAGATAACGTGTTCCTAAAGGACCCACAGCGCGTTTACTGTGTGGAAAGATATTGTATTGTGTATACTTTTGAACACTGTGTTCCAGTCACTGTGTGACAAAAAGATGCACATGGCGCCTAAGGTGTTAAACATACAGCAACCTTAAGTTTTCACCCTTCTATAGTCAATATATAGTGACAATGGCACTAATTTTCGAGGAGCGAACAATATATTATCGACCGTTAATTGGGATGACGTTTCTTCCAAAATATCAATCCAAAAAATATCATGGCGCTTTATTCCACCTCAAGCGCCATGGTGGGGTGGATGGTGGGAGCGTGTGGTTCGTACTATAAAAGAAATTTTGAGGAGAGTTTTAGGCAAAGCTGCTCTGTTAGAAAAAGAATTGTTCACTGTACTTTGCGAAACAGAAGCTGTCATTAATTCACGTCCTCTGACTTATATAGTAGATAGTACTGAAAATTTTAAAGCTCTCACTCCAGCTATGTTTCTTAAGGTAGGCAATACTTCTACGTTTGATTTAAACCAAGTTAAATCACCTAATCTTACTACTCGTTATAGTTATATCGAAAAAGTTAATACAGATCTACAACAAAGATTTCGATCAGAATATTTATCTTTACTAGTACAAAAGAACACTAAAAACGAGAACAATCTCCAACCTAGGGATATCGTGCTTATAGGTTTAGATAATTTGAAGCGCGTTAACTGGCCTTTAGGTCTCATTTTAGAGATATGTTTAGGTGTTGATAATGTCGGTAGGGTAGCACGTGTTAAAACAGCAAAGGGTGAACGTGTTCGTGCACTGCAACGTTTATTTCTTTTAGAGATATCGAGGTTAGAGAGTATTCAGTTTCCACAGTCATCAGGGTCAAATGATAAAGTCGCAGATCCCGCTCTTGAGCCCGACAATCTTTTAACAAAGACAACACATTCTGCTCGTCTTGTGAAACTGCCTCGACGTCTAAACCTGTGATTTATTTTTATTTTATTGTAGTTCTTTAGCATTGCGCACGCGCAAGGTGGGGTGTATGTTGTGAAACCTCTTTAGTTTAATTTTTTATATTTAAAAAGTAATATATTATAAAATTTTGAAAGTTAGTTCCTAAGATTATTGCAAAAAGTGACATTATATTTTTTCTTTCGGAATTTCCTGAAATATTTTATTTCTATATATAAATCCACTCATCCTATGTACCTGCTGTCCCAGAACCTATTATCGTATATCATATATCACAACATCATCGATTTATCCAATCCATCACATTAAGTATGACAAATCAACGTTTGCCGGGTAACCTACTATTACCTATATAAAACACTCTATGTATTAAAAAAACCGCTTCAAAATCCGTTGCGTCGTTTTAAAGATTTAAGCCTACATAGGGATGGACAGACAGCGATAGCAACTTTGATTTATACTATGTAATGATTAATAAACTTAATTGTAAGATGAGGTTTAATAAAAGTCGTTTATAGAGTAACATATGTAATTGTTTATTTCTGTACAACCTATTTAACAGTATTTAGATCTTGTAATGTTAGAGGCCGAACTAAATAAGAATCATCATTTGATGTAACCTTGGTGTTTCCATTTTGAAACTTATTCTCAATATCTATAAGAGTCATATTTTTAGTTTCAGGCATGAATTTTAATAAAAATGCTAAACAGTAACTACTTATACCAGCATACATTAAATATGCGCCGTGTAATCCTATTGAATTCTTAAGATATGGAAATGATTTTATGGACGCAGATATAGCTACTGTAAAGTATAAAGTAGTAATACCAGCAGAAAAACTACGATATTCTAGTGAAAATATTTCACCATCTATAGTAATTGAAAGAGGGAATATACCAACTAAAAATGAAAATAATAGCAAATGTATTAATAAGATTCCTATAATAGGATGATCAAAAGGCAGCATGTTATATGCCTTACAATAGGAATAAAGGGCAGTGGTCAGTAAGACAAATATATTTAAACTAAGAAAAGTGCAGAGAATAAATCTTCTTTTACATTTCCTCATAACAAAAACTGCGATTATATTATAACAGAGCCCTAAAATATCTGTAAACATTATTTGTAGATTAATATCGGTATCAGGGCTGGTTAAGGTAGAAAAAATATCTTGCATATAATTAATTACTGGATTTGAGGCACACCAATGGGTAAATGTATATACGTGGATCATTATCAAAACTGGCAGGTAGCATTCTCTTAATTTAATTGCATTTAAATTCTTAAAGAACTTTGTTTTGGTTTCGTTCAAAAAGTCTTTTGTGCTTGTACTTTTTCTTTTATTTCTTCTTTTTCTGGTAGCACTTATAGTATTTTCTATCTCATTTGCTTCATCTTTTTCACGGAGCCAAAAAAATACTCGTTTCGAGTCTTCGTATCGTCCTTTATCAGCTAGCCAGCTAGGAGATTCTGGAGTCATTATGATTATTATTATACCCAGAAAAGTAATCAATATACAGATTAAAGCAGTAAATTTCCAACCAAGATAAGACCCTGCAGTATGTACTAGCATAGTCATGAGTGAGATTTGAATAAGTGTCATGGATGTTAATAGTGCTCGATTCTTAGGACTTGTATATTCAGCAATTACGATAGATGGTAAGGAATTTACCATACCCATTGAGAATCCATGAAAAAGCTTTCCAACAAGGATCAAAGTTATGTTGTCACTTAAACCTATACACACCCAACCAATTAGGGATGTTGTAATGCTAACTAGACTCGCTGGTTTTCTGCCATATAGTCCCATAATTAAAGGCAAACATAAATTACCCACAAATAACGAAAATCCGTGAATGGAGGCTAAAAATGAAAATAAAATTATTATTTTCAAGTCATTAGAAAGAGACTTTGTGCCTCCTTAATTGCCTGAGTGGGTATCAATCTTCATTGCCTTTTCTTAGGACCGGAGATTTCCGGAGACAATAAAAGAAATACCTTCGTATTTCATTTATTGCCTCCGGTACCATATTTCTTTCTTCAGATACGAAAACAGAATTATGTTAATTAGGTAAGATGGTACCCATGCAGACTTCAGAGAATATTTCCATTAATTTTTACTTTAAATTAAAGAAATACCAATCCAAGAAGCAGAGTTATCGTCTATCGGTATGGTGGAGTCATCTCGACGCAGTTGAGGCAGTAAGCGTGCGGTATAACTTGGTACCATTGCTATTATTGCTTGATTGATGGATGCGCCCAGTGTCACAAAGCACTGAAAAGATTTTTAAAATAGTCAGCGAAATAGCAATCACTCAACCACCTGTGGAGTAAGTCAATTGACTATTATATAGAAACTGGATGATGAAGCAATGTACCACTTTTCATAGCTAAAACCTTTAACTACAGTATTTATGATAGGAAAGAGTAGAGATAGAAAGACATAGGGGAACAAACTTGGAATTAGAGAATTAAGACAGGCATGACGTCTTAGTCCTGGAATTACTACACAAGAGGGTAACAAGATAAAGTGATGTCCTTAGTAATGTTCGTGTATATGAGCGAAATGTACTCTCCTGATCTGCAAGTAGCCTATCAACATGTTTGCTATTCCAATTACATCACTAGAAATGAATAAGATGAATGGATGAAAAGATTTCTGAGAGATGACGAGGTGTGTGTTTTATGACAATATTAGTAGGGACTGCAGTAGGCATACATCTTAATTTTGGACAAGTGACCAGAATGGTCCTCTATGATACAGTCCTATCTACAGTACCTAATTATCAATATTCTTATTAACGAAATCGTTTTGTGCATATTTGTCATTGGAAAATAAATAAGGGAATGATTAACGTGACCCGATCATCTATAATAAAAATTTTGACATGGGTTACTTATTTATTATAATTAAAAAATCCACAGATTATTGTTATTTAATTACGGTTAGTATACACATCGACATGCAAAACAACATCTGTTTTCTAATATATTCGTTTCTCTGCTTTAAAATTTAGTTATCTACTTTTGAAAACACTGTTTACTTAACATTCACATAAATTACACGCACAGTAGTAAAAGGTACTCACTTGTTTCATAAAGGGTGTTATATACATGTTTGGTAGTCACTTCTATAATTCCTTGTGAACCAACTGCACGCGGATTACAAATGACCAACCTTGTGTCATTGAAAACCACAGATACACAAAGCCGTTCATTTTATTATTTGCACTGCGAACGACAAAATTTTGCAAATTTTCTTTACGCTTTAATTCCGGGGAAATTACCTGGAACTCTTCAAGTCCACGGTACCTCTATTATTAACTGAAGTACTGTAGTAAGGTAACAGTTATCAGTTATCAGAAATGGCCTTCCGAAATAATATAAATTAATTCGATTAAATAATTTCTTAAAGTACGTCATGGCGTTGTACGTATAACAAAAGATACTGTCTGTATGTTTATAAATTCTGTTTAAGCTTTAGATGTTTCGTTTACAATCTTAATGTTTAAACACTTGGAAATATTTAATAATTTTAAAGTAACAAATGAACTGTTACTACCACTGCTGCGAGGTATATAGTTTTATTAGTGTATTATAAAACATAAGTCATTGTTTGCCGTAGACGTAGATAATAAAGCAAAAAATATATGTATTTATTCAAAACATTAAAAATGTAAATGTTGTACATTATTAAACTTATCAAGCACACATTTTAATTATGTTAATTAAATTTAGTAGTGACGGTATACTCATTTTTAAATGTAATGAAACTGTGTTTCGGCAAGATAATGATTTCCGCTCGGTAGCTTACATATATCATTTAATATCTCAACTCTATCTGAACTCTAATGTTACTTTCAGATGTTTTTAAAGGACTAAACTCAAAGCTTTTAAAAGATGGTTTTCGAGACGTATGGGAAAAATTCGAAAAACAAAAATAAAAATAAATTAATTCTATAATATTCAGAAGATAAATTATAAATATTCGGAAAGATGAAACCCAAAATAAAGAATTATTAGATATAATATATAGAAGTCAAAGAATAAACAGTATAAGAACAGACGAGGGAAATATGGGTATATTTGAAATTAAATACAGTATTATTAAAAAAAAAGAAGAAATAAATACAGTTATATCACAGTCGCTTATTTTGAGAAGTGAAGCAATTATTTTACAAATTTGTGCGCATTTACCTTTTGTAGACCATTTGTTGATGGCTATACATAATCTATACATATAAATAAAATTGGAATGTCTGTTTGTAATATTGAAATAACCGATTTTTATTACATGCATATGAATATAAATACGGTACATATACCAAAATAACATTTTTTACAATTTTTGTCTGTCTGTCTGTCAGTCTGTTTGTTCCGGCTAATCTCTGAAATGGCTAACCTATTTTGATGGGACTTTTTTTGGCAGGTAGCTGATGTAATAAGGAGTAACTTAGGCTACTTTTATTTTAGAAAATAAAGTTAAATTCCACGCGGACGAAGTCGCGGGAACAGCTAGTAATAAATAAAACATCTGCACTCCACTTATTTATTTTATTAATGACATCGTAGGCGGTGTTTTGAAAATATTCACAAAATTATTTATTTCACACTTTTGGAGTTTATCTTTATCAGTTTTCTTGGTCGATTGATTTATATATGCTGTGAAAATTTGACAATCATTTCTCCAGCTTTTTATAGAAAACCTTAACATATAAACAGACAATCATATTACTGAACTCTTTGATACGTTTTTATACCATTTTAAAATTTTATAATCATATTATTTTGACATATTAATCTTTATAAATAAAAATAGATACTGTTTATTTATATTTACTTATATCTATGCGTTACCGCAGTATTCATTCTACTATAAAAAGACCTTATGAACTCTTCTTGCACATGCAATTCACTTAGAGTAACCTATTTGACATACTTAGTACTAAACTTAATTAAATCCAAAATTACACATTTTGGGACAAGGACTAACAATTTTAACTTATAGTTAGTTTGTTATTTACTTATTGTATCCAATATTTGAAAGAACATTACTGTAATAGTTTTAATTCTAGATCTTTAACAATTTTATTAATAACAAATTTAAATCCGACACAAATCTCGGATAATAACATAATATTCCATTAATTACGACACAGGTTCTAAAATCTTCCCCGTCTGCTGCTGAAACTTTACTAACAGACAATGTTAGCAGTTCATCATCTAAATTATAGCATACATCATGTTTAGAAATAATGAAAATATTCAAACAGCTTAATAATAAAAAAACAGAGGATCTATGGGGTATATCTGTTAAAATACTGGATAATGGAAATTATTACGCCGTCTCTTGCTTTTATTTTCAATAAATGTATAGATGAAGGTAAATTTCCTAACATAATGAAAATTAGTAAAATCATACCGCTTTTTAAATCTGGAGATAGGAGTGACCCAATAAATTATAGATATATCTATACTTAGCACTCAGTAAAATTTTTAAAAATAATCCTTATGCAGCTTGTCAGTTATTTCAATTTAAATAATTTAATCTGCAATAGTCAATTCGGTTTTTCCAAAGGTCGTTCAACTACAGACGCAGGTGCAGAGTTGCTTAGACACGTATTTGCTGCATGGGAAACTAAAATGGATGCGATAGGTGTTTTTTGTGACCTTTCTAAAAGGCGTTTTGATTGCGTTGATCATAATACATTGCTAAAAAAACTTGCTTTTTATGGCGTCAAAGACAAGGCTTTAAATTTAATAAAATCTTATTTATCTGATAGAATACAGAAAGTAAGTTAGCAACGCTACGTCTGACGGGTCACTTGTGCAAATGGGTTACCTGAAGGATCTATTCTCGGTCCAGGTTTATGTGAAAGAGTTTTTGAGTTATGAGGGGGTCCATTTTTATTCCTAGTTTACATTATTTATCTCCCATATGCCATGCAGGATAGATGCGGCATAGTATTATTTGCAGACGATACTTCATTGATTTTTAAAGTTAATAGAATGACTAATAATTATGACGATGTAAATAGTGCTTTGCAGCGTCTCCTGCACTGGTTTACAACTAACAATCTTATGTTAAACGCTAAAAAAAAACAAAATGTGAAAATATATCTCTGTCTAAAAAAATAATTGCAAAATTAAATTAAATGACGAATCTCTCGAATTTATATAACATTCTACTTATTTTGAGGAATCATGCAGATAATAAAACACAATGGGGTGCACAAATTGCCTTGCAATAATAAGTTCAAAGCTTTTGCCTGCGTAAGGTTAGACAGTACACTGATACTGTTACTGCTAGATTTCTATTTTAGTTATTTTCATAGTGAACTCTCTTATGGAATATTACTATGGGGAAAAGCGGCAGATATTAAAAATATATTCATATTACAAAAACGTGCCGTTCGAGCGATCTACTGTATGAAAGAGTTGTGACTCATTTTTCAAAGAGGCAAATTTTCACCGTTGCTTCTCAATTTATATATTCAAATATATATGTTCATAAAAATTGACTTATTTCCAAAAAACAGCAGTATTCATAATATTAATACTAGATTTAAAGACAAACTTGCTGTCCCCAAGTATCGTTGAGAAAAAGTTAATAGGTCTTTTATGGGAAAGGTATAAAAATTTACAATAAGATTAAAGGATATGTTGGAATTACCCTTAAATAAATTCAATCTTTAAGATAAAAATAGATACTGTTTATTTATATTTACTTATATCTATGCGTTACCGAATTTTCATTCTACTACAAAAAACCTATATAAAAATACATTGTAAATAAACTCACTTAAAAAAAAAAAGTAACTTATTTCACATACTTAGTACTAAACTTAATTAAATCTAAAATTACACATTTTGGGACAAGGACTAACAATTTTAACTTATAGTTAGTTTGTTGTTTTACTTACAGCATCCGATATTTGAAACATTACTGTAATAGTTTTCATTCTAGACCTTTAATAATTGACAATACTAATATATCCATTAATAATGCAGTTAAATCGTGACCACGGTTATTGCAACCTTCTCGAAACGTCGAAAGAAGTAGATACTATTATTTGCTATATAATTATTCGTGTTAAAACCAGTTTAACTCTATTAATAATATGTAGTAAAAGCGAAACTTTAAAAATAAATACAAAAGTATCCAAATGTCATACATTATTTCTCCTGCGCCAACAATGTACGGTGTAATATAAAAAACTGTAAGCATAATTTTAAGAAGGCACACAATAAAAATAAAATCATTTGAATATACTATGTAATCAAATATTTAATACGCTATATGATCATGCACGGTCAAAGGTTTAATTAAATTAGAATCATTTGGTGTAACTACCTCCTTTTTAAACTCATTCTCAATATCTAGAAGTGTTTTATCCTTAGTTTCAGGCATGAATTTTAATAAAAATAATAAAGTATAACTACATATACCAGTATATAGTAAATATGTCCCGTGAAATCCTATGCAATTTTTTAGATATGAAAAAGTTTTTATTACTAATGATATTGCTATTGAATAATACAAATTAGTTATACCTGCTGAGAAACTGCGATACTCTAAACAAAATACCTCACCATCAATAGCTACTGTAAGTGGTAATATACCGGATAGATATGAAAATAAAAACAAATGTACTAATAATATTCCTATAAATGGATAATCAAACGGCAATATGTCATGTGCTTTACAATAAGTATATAAAGCAGTGCACAGCAAGATTAATATGTTAAAACTCAAAAACGAACAGAGAATAAATCTCCTTTTACAATTCTTCAGAATAAATATTGCGATTATATTATAACAAAGACATAAAACATCTGTGAATACAATTTGTAGATTAATATCTGTATCGGGACTTGTTAAGATGGAAAAAATATCTTGTAGATAAATAATTATAGTACTTGCACCACACCAGTTCCCAAATGTGTATAAATGAATCATTATTAACACGGGCATGAAACATTCTCTATACTTTAACGCTTGCATGTTCTTTAAAATCTTCCTTTTAGCATTTGTTAAGAAGTGTTTCGATGCATTTTTGTTGTCATTATTTCTTCTAGTGGCAGCGTTCATAAGATGTTCAAACTCATCTACTCCATCTTCTCCTCTAAGCCACAAGAAAGCTTGCTTGGATTCTTCATATTTTCCTTTCTCAGCTAACCAACTAGGTGATTCTGGAGTTATTATAGTTATCAATAGGCCCGTAAATATTATAATTGCACAAACAAAAGCAGTCAGTTTCCAACTACAATAAGAGCCTATAGTGTGAACGAGAAGAGATGTAATCGATAGTTGTATCAATGTTACTGATGTAAATATTGCCCGATTCTTGGGATTTGTACATTCAGCGATTACTATAGACGGTAATGAAATTACCATACCCATAGACAATCCTTGCAATAGGTTTCCAATGAGAATCAAAGTTACGTTACTACTGAACATGATGCACAGCCAACCGATTAAAGAAATTATATTACTGACTAGATTTGCTGGCTTTCTGCCGTACTGTCCCATAATTAACGGCACTGATATATTACCAACAAATAAGGTAATACCATGTACCGATGCTGAAAAAAATGAAACGATGTATAACTAAAAGAAAATATAGCTAAGAAATAATTACAAGGTCTAGCTTTTTTTCGGATTTTGCTAATGCTGTTGGGCGCGGCTGTCCTTTACAGCTTCAGCGGACGATATGGGGCGAGTGCAGATAGCACTCCAAACCCGCGGAAGGACTTATGGAGCAACTGAAAGCCAAGGTCTAGCATTGGTAATGAGGTATTTATATAAATAATGATAAAGTGTTTAATTTATTGAATCCAAAATTACAAAGTAATGTTTAATTGCGATTGTATACATATTATTATCTTCTACTTTTTCTTATTCCTGGTAAATTCACACACCGCCATTTAGTCTTTCCTCCGATCGATCCCCCAATTCAAACGGGGATCGAAATAACGACGGCCTGAGCCGAGGTGCGAAACCCTAGTGGTGCCCTCAGACTAAAGTCGTATCCGTCAGGCAGGAGTTGGCCTTCAGCCGCTCCATAAGTCCTTCCGCGTTTTTGGAGTGCCATCTGCACTCGCCCCCTAACGTCCGGTGAAGCTGTAAAGGCCAGCTGCGGCCAACAGCATTAGAGTAGTCCGAAAAAAAAAACCGCCATCTAGTCCTAAACTATGCAGAACTTGTGTTACGGTTACTAGACAACTGATGGATATGCCTAGATACATTTGTTTGTAAACGTATGTCTATACATACATAGAAAATACCCAGATCAATACAAACAATTTTACTCATGAATACAAATATTTGTACCATGCGAGCAACCAAACCCACGACTATTATAAGTAAAGTATCCTGAACGAACAGACTACCGAGACAATCATTTATAATTAAAAACATTAAATTTTAGATATACCAATCCAAGAAGCCATATTGTCGTCAACTGCAATGATGGAGTCATCACGTCGCAGTTGTGGAAGTAAGCGTGATGTGTAACTAGGTATCATACATATGATGGCTTGATTGATTGCTGCGCCAAATGTTACCAAACACTGAAAATATAGTAATAAAATTTAATGTCATCTTCTTGAAGAACTCTTTATCGCATATAACAGACAAGCAACTTCCTTTGTCGTCCAATTCAAACGGGGATCGCATTACATCGACCTAAGCCGAGGTTCAAACCCTTAGAGGTGCCCTCAGACTAAAGTCTATCCATCAAACAGGAGTTGACCTACAGCCGCTCTATAAGTCCTTCCGTAGGTTTGGAGTGCCATCTGCACTCGTCCCCTATCGACCAGTCAAGCTGTAAAAGCTAGCTGCGGTTAACATTAGGATAGTTCGAAAAGAAACAGATGTAATATTTTTAAATTAAACTTTATTTTAAATAATTTAGAATACTATTTTATCTATTCAGGATACAGTTTTCAAGACAAAGTTAATGTCTTTATTCTTATGACATTGCGTTGTTCGTTTCATATGCATACATAATCAAAAGTGTGCAAGTTTGTAGCATTATATATTATCAAAGATATTTTAATTAAATTAAAATTGAAATAAGTTTCCTAAAAAAAAAGGATGCAATTATAGTATATTATTCTTACCACGAAGAACTATCCTGGTTGGTCTGAATTTATATTTAAATTTAAATTATTAACCGGGTCTTGACACGAATAATTTATGGTAAATAAAGGTATTTACCTCTCTCGACGGGGGGGAAGGGTATTGTTAGTAATGTGGATTGATAACCCCATTGCTAGCAATGTACCATGTCAGGTCGACCTCCACGCGGTTCCCCCTGGAAACCATCGTGTTAAAATCCTGGTGAATTTGTCACGATGGGCTAACTGACCTGACCTCATGCTCATCTTATCATCTTCCACTGGTGCCCCGCCAGCGTAAACCGATAGCGCAGGCGGGTGCACTATCCCATTATCATCCGTAAAAAAAAAAAAAAAACCTCTCTCGACGTTTCGACTAGGTTGCACTAGCCGTGACCAACCTAGTCGAAACATCGAACCTTTATTTGCCTTAAAATTATTCGTGTTAAGACCCGGTTAATAATTTAAATAATGAAATCACTTTCCCAAAATATTATTTGAATTATAACTTTAAAATATAATAATTTTATTCTTTCTAAATTGAACCACTTTAAAAAAGTCTGTTCAAATGCAATATACCATTCTTTACATTAAAGAAAGTTATGCCTAATACTAGATTTTTCATTTTACATTTCTAAAACAACTTCTAACAAATAATGTAATCTATATATTTTTTATCAACAACAGGGATAAACCTAGGAATAAGTTCTCCAAAATGTATAGCATTTTGGAGAACTTATTCCTATGTTCATAGGTACCATTCTTTACATTAAAGAATAATGCCTAATACTAGATTTATCATTTTACCTTTCTAAAACAACTTCTAACAAATAATGTAAATGATAGAAAATATATATATTTTCTATCCACAACAGGGATGAACCTAGGAATAAGTTCTCCAAAATCACTTACTTGTTTCATAGATGGCGATATAGACATATTCGACGTGTACTTGTCGAATCATGAATAAAGAATACTACAGTTTTCAAGGTAACTGTATATTTAATAATATATATCGGTTATGCATATTAATAATTGTTTTTTAAAACCTGTTTCACAGGTTAATATTTGTGTAGTGTGCAGTAGTTAATTTGATAGTATATTAAAACTTTCTGACGGTTTTCGAGACAAATATTTGGTCTTCTCGCAAGAAATTACTTAATGTATTATTTTTTAAGTAAATAAATGAAGGACAAAGTTGGTGTCGTGTCGTATCAACATTTAAAGAGGATGATGGAAGATCGTGAGAAGTGGCAAGAGCTCCACCGACAGGAGCGTGGCTCTTAAATTATGAATAAATGATAACATTTTATTATTACACACTTATTGAAGAGATATCTTACGTGAAATAAATATGTAAAGAAATTACCATACACGTGAATAAAGTTTTCTATATTGGTTAATAAACGAAATATAAAAAGTAAAAAAAATATATTGGATTGATACTGCTACAATTTTAAGAAATTCCATCAAAGATATTAAAATTAAATAAATTTCCAAAAAAAAGAATGCAAGTATAATTATTACTTTCAAACCACAAAAGACTGTTTTGTGTTCTGAAATTTTCTATCTGTTCTTTCAAAATTGAAATCACTTTCCCAAAATATGATTTATTTACAATTATTCATTTATTCATAACTAGCTGTGCCTGTAACTTCGTCCGCATGTTGTAGTGGCCTTGACCAAATAAAGAAAAAATATTCAATAATCTAAACCAAAATGCTACAAAAAAGTGTCATTGTTCTAGCTGCCAAAAATGACGATTATCCATACAAACTTTCATCTCCTCTTTCAACCTCTTACAACCCTTATTTCGCATATTATATTATTATAATATAGCCTATGTCCTTTCTCAGGGTCTAATCTATATGTGTACCAAATTTCATTTAAATCGGTTTAGTAGTTTTAGCGTGAAAGTCATCAGAAGTAGTTTAGTTGTAGAAGTAGTCAAGTTGTAGAAGTCAGACTGACAGACAGACAGAGTTACTTTCGCATTTATAATATTAGTAAGGATTTAAGAGCTACGCTCTTGTCGGTGGAGCTCTTGCCACTTTCCGCGATCTTCCATCATGCTCTTTAATTCTTGATGCAACACGACTACCATTTTGTTCTTAAATTCAACCACTTTTAAAAACTATTCAATGTACGATTCTTTACAAAAAATAATGTTATGACTAATACGAGATTTAGATGGATGGGGATTGTTAGTAATGTGCACTAATAACCCCATAGCTATAAATGTTTGCCCCTGGAAACCATCGTGTTAAATTCATAGTGAATTTACTACGAGCACATCGTAGTAAATAACTGACCTGACTTAATGCTCATTTTATCATCCTCCACTGGTGCCCCGCCAGCGTAAACCGTTAGCGCAGTCGGGTGCACCATTCCATTATCATCCATAAGAAAAAATGAACAATATTTTTCATTGGAGATTTCTAAATCAACTTCCAATAAATATTGAAGAATTCGTTAACGATAATAATGTTTTTATAGAAAAACTTTAAATATATATATATATATAATAATGAGTGCGTAGCGATTTCTATGTTGATTATCGCATGCCTCTTACTTGTTATACTGTAATTATTTATATAAAAAAAACATCTATTAAAAAGAGCAACACACAAGTTTCTTGCTCGTTCTTCTTGTGATGAATCTGCATTCCGAATGAGTGGTAGAATAAAAATATCACTATTCAAAAGTGCTTGTAACGAGTTTATTTGAATAAAGATTATTTCTATTTCTATTTCTATTTCTAATGTGTGACGAATTAACTATTATCGTGCGGTAACACCGTTGCCTGGTTACAACAGAACACAGGCCTGTCATTCGAGACCGAATCACTTTCTTGTACATATATATATCAATTGTAAATACTTCTATATTATAAATATGTACATAGCCACACTCTGGACTCATCATTTCATATCCTCCTTTCCTGCTGCTGCCACAATAAATGGAACACATTACAAACACAAACAATAGCGGCCCCAACATAGCCGCTAAAAATATATACAATTTATATTTTCTTTCAACGACAGAGATGAATCTATGAATAAGTTCTTCAAAATCACATACTTGTTTCATAAATGGAGATATATACATATCTGACGTGTAGTTGTCGAAATAGTAATAGTAGAATAAAGAATACTAGTACTAGTCTTCAACACTATTTCAGTATTAAGTTATAATTACATTTTCTTCCCTAAGTACTCTTTGCGGCATTAAAACAATTAGTATTAAGTGACAAAACGTGCATAAGTAATAATTAATTGTCTTTAAATTGTTTTATTGTATTATATAGAATAGCATGTATGTATGTACAAGGTGCATACATTTTATTGGCAACACTTGATACGGCACGATGCTTTTATGAGTACTATACTATACTTATCACAGATAATATAATATTACATACTATTATTGAAGCCAATGTATGTCTATCTAGCTGTACTCGCAACTGGAAAACTCGCGTGGAAATTATCTTAATTTTTCTAAAATAAAAGTAGCCTATGTTACTCTTTATTACATTAGCTACCTGCCAAAAATAGTCCCGTCAAAATCAGTCCAGCCATTTCAGAGATTAGCCGGAACAAACAGACAGACAAAAATTGTAAAAAATGTTATTATGGTGTATGTACCGTAAAAAATGGTTATTTCAATATTACAAACAGATACTCCAATTTTAGTTGTATGTATACATATATTTGTAAGGCGTCTAATGATTTTACCCTTAAGGGGGTTAAATGAATTAGGGGATATATTTTTTAATGTAAATTCGTCATTGTTGAAGATAAAGCTTGAAACTTATTTTTGAGGCTGTTGATTAAATATAAATAAATATGACATTCTATGTTTGTAAAAATTTTACCCTTAGGGGGTAAAATAAAATAGGGGATGAAAGTTTTTATGTAAATTCGTCATTTTTTAAGATAGAAACTGATTTTTGAGGCTGTTGATTGAATATAAATAAATAGGCCATAAAAGTTTATAAAAATGTTACCCTTACGGGGGTAGAATAAAATAGGGGATGAAAGTTTTTATGTAAATTCGTCATTTTTGAAGCCAGAAGCTTGAAACTTATGTTTTAGACTGTTGATTAAATATAAATGAATATGACATTCAAAGTTTGTTTAAATTACCTTTAAGGGGGTAAAATAAAATAGGGGATGAAGATTTTTATGTAAATTCAGTCATTATTGAAGTTAGAACGATGAAACCTTTTTATTAGCTTTTTGAGTTAGTTTATTAAATACCTTACTAATATTATAACTGTGAAAGTAACTCTGTCTGTCTGTCAGTTTTACTTACACGCTAAAACTACCTACTTAACAGATTTAAGTGAAATTTGGTACACAATTAGATCTTGATAAAGCACATAGGATACTTTTGAATGCGAAAAAAGGGTTGTAAGGGGGTTGAAATGGTAGATGCAAGGTAGAAAAAGCTTGAAGTTTAATTTTTAGCCTATTAAAAGTTGAAAGAGTTATGTATGGAAGTGTCGTCATTTTTGAAACAAAAAGGATGAAACTTTTTCATTTGGTTTTTATTGGGTTAGGTCATTAAATATTTTTTTCATTATTTGGTCAAGGTCACTAATTTACGCGGACGAAGTCGCGGGTACAGCTAATATGTTCATATTTATAATATAGAAGATATTATAAATATGTACATAGCCACACTCTGGACTCATCATTTCATATCCTCCTTTCCTGCTGCTGCCACAATAAATGGAACACATTACAAACACAAACAATAGCGGCCCCAACATAGCCGCTAAAAATATATACAATTTATATTTTCTTTCAACGACAGAGATGAATCTATGAATAAGTTCTTCAAAATCACTTACTTGTTTCATAAATGGAGATATATACATATCTGGCGTGTACTTGTTGAATTAGTAGAATAAAGAATACTAGTAGAATAGAATAGAATAGAATAGAATAGAATAGAATAGAATAGAAAATCATTTATTCAAATAAACTTACATTGAAGCACTTTTGAATAGTCATAACATTTTTTTTTTAATATACCGCTCATTCGGAATGCTGTCTCATCACAAGAAGAACAAGCAAGAAACTTGTGTGTTGCTCTTTTAAAGTGTCTTCAACACTATTGCAATTGCATATTAAGTTTTAATTACATTCACATAAGTTGTTCTCAAGGCAACCCTGTATATTATGTATGTTAATCATTGATTTTAAAACTCCTTAACTAGTTTATCATTGTGCAGTGTAACGATTTGAAGTATTAAATAAATATGTTTCAGTTTCATTGTACTCTTTGTTTATATATTAATTGAAGTCTAAACCAATACAGCAATAATATTTATGTTTTCATTCCAATTATTTATTATTTCTATAAATAACTATTACTTCCGTGTTGCTCCCATGACCAAGTGGCCAGCCTAATCTTTTCAACCTTGCAAAGGACGAACCTTATCTCTATACCTTCTTTTTTCCTTTTCCACCATTTTTTTTAATAAAGTAGTTATTAGTAATCAATAGGGATTCAATAATCTCCTTTTATTGTGCATCACATATTTTGTTGATCACTTAATGTCATCATAAAAGTACATTTGTAGCTTGATTTTCATTCTTCATAACTGTACCTTTAAATTTTTTTTCAATTTCCAATAGAGATTTGTCTTTAGTCTCAGGCAATAATTTTAGAACTACAATTAAAGAATAGACACAAACAATACCATATAAACTACACACACCGTAAATATTAATATTATTATACAAAAAATAAAAAGTTTTGAGCACTATAAATAAATTTATTGACGACAATACGGCTGAAACGGAACTAGTTAAACTTCGACTTGCTAATGGAAAAATTTCACCAACAATTATTATTGGCAATGGCAATGGACCTAGAGCAGCAGATAGATGAACAAACAATAAAACTAATCCAACAACAGGTCCATTATATACAATCATTTTACTTTCTCT